GCATCAACATCGACGGCACGGCCAAATCGCTTCGGAAAGAAGACAATGCTCTGTGTTTGGTGGGACCAGAAAGGAATCGTGTACTATGAGCTGATGAAACCGGACAAAACTGTCAATGGGCATCGCTACCGACAACAACTGATCAATTTGAACCATGCATTGCTCGAAAAACGGCCAGAATGAGACACGAGACACGAACGAGTGATATTGCAGCACGATAACGCCATCGCACTTTCATCGTCCAGGATACCATAAAAACGCTGAAATGGGATCTGCTATCGCACCCACCGTATTCGTCAGATCTGGCCCCTTCCGATTATCACTTGTTCCGGTCGATGGCGCATGGCTTGGCTGGGCAACACTTGGCCAATTTCGAAGAAGTGCAAAAATGGTTGGATGAATAGTTTCGGTCTAAAGACGCATTATTTTACCGTCGCGGTATTGCCAGAGAGATAGCAAAAATGTGTAGCTAGCGAGGGACGATACTTTGAATAAACCATTTTTTGTATTTCTCTTGAAATTTTCCATTTTTCATTGATCAAAAACCCGGAAACTTAGTTGCGCACCTAGTATATGTGTACGTATACATTATAAAATCTTTCAAATTCTCTTTCATTGTGAACTTCCGCCTAACCATCAATAAAACAAGTTATTTGTAATTGTAAATTTGTAATAAAAACCAATCACGTTTTCCAACCAATTATTCACAATAAAAAATTCTCCCATCCCTCAACTGTCGCTCACGGTCCTATCCCAAGTAAAAGGATTCAGTTCCTTGACCTAAATAAAAGACCACCGACGTATGTCCGCGCCAGATAAAGGGGTCATTCCGATCCTTGATCTGCACCGCAGACTTGCGAGTACGTCGGAGCTTGTGAGAGTATGCGTCAAGTTGCGTTCCTCCTTCAGGACGTAACATTTGGCTTCGTACCGATTTTTAAGTGGCATTCTTTTTCGTTTTACATCTTTCCTGAATCTTCCAGAAATATGATCTTGTCTCGATTTCTTTCTTTTCTTTCTTCCATTTTCACTTAGAATACTGCGAAATGAAAGCTTCGATCTCGGCTCTAACTGTCAGCTGCATGGACGACAAGTTACTGACGAATTAAGCTATATTTATGTCTGGATAGCTATTGCGTTCAAAATGGTGGCTAAAATAGGCTGTGTGCAGATATACAACAGCGAGAAACATAATAAATTCGTGAAGAATAATACACAGGACGGGCAGTCAGATCACGCTACCTGAGTGACATCCATCTGTACAAGTTTCCAACATATTCTCAGGCTTATAACTTTGTCATTTGTTGCAATATCGACTTAAAATTTAGAGAAAATATTGTCTACGTATGAAGTTTTAAGAAAATATAAAAAACGAAAAATCAATTTTTTGGACTTTACTAGATGTACATGCCCCCTTAAAATTCCAAATGAAAGTTGGAAAAATTGTGAAAACTACGTATACATATATTTTCCGAATTTTGTTTTTGATATCTCAAAAACAAAATCTCAAAAGTTATGAAATTTTAAGCACGAACATACAAAGTCTCGAAGTTTTAGTCTAAAGCATTAATGCCTGTTTCCATCAACTTTGGTTTCATCTACGATTTAGTAAAATTTTGGTTTAAGTTAACTCTTAGCTTAATATTATTAACTAGTTTCTATGAACACTTTATCTAGAACATTTAGCTAAACTTATAATTTATATCATATTAGATCATTAAATATGAAATATCCGATTTCGAATGAAAAGTTTAGTTTATTATATCTCAAACTAGAAGTAGTACAAGTCAAAATATGTGCCTAAACTATCGACATAGCTCTGCCATCTTAACGGTAGCTTATTTATGCTAGCAGAAGCACGAAGAAGCCTGAAAAGCTGGTGACGATGAAATCGCGGAAGATGTTTTCCACAGTTTGTTGAGAATTGAATACTTTTCCTTGCAAGAAGTGGTCCAATGCCTGGAAAAAGTGGTAGTCAATTGGTGCAAGGTCTGGTAAATACGGTGCGTGATAAAGAATTTTCAAGTCCAGCTCCTATAGTTTGAGCAGCATGTTGTTTGTGCGACATGTGGCCGAATGTTGTCTTGTAAGAAGATTGGCCTGCCTCTATTGACCGACTTCGGTTGTTTAATCGCAGGCATCTTCATCATTTCGTTCAGTTGGTTACAGTAGACATCCGCTGTAATCGATTGACCAGGTTTCATGAAGCTGTAGTGGATAATACCAGTGTTGGACCACCAAACAGACATCATTAGTTTTTTTATGAATATTCGGCTTCGGGCTGTGTTTCAGCATTTTATCTTTATCTAACCATTGTGCCGCTTGCGATTGTCGTAAATAATCCATTTTTCATCACACATAACAACGTAACACGTAATACGAAAATAATTCGCCTTTATGTCATGATAGTAAAGAAAGGCAAACTCCGAAATGATTTATTTCTGACGTTTAATTCGTTTAATTCATATGGAACCCATCTATCCAGTTTCTTTACCGATTTGTTTCAAATGGTCCAATGTTGAAATAATAATGTTAAACCTTGCTGCTAATTCACGTATAGTTGGAGATGTATCCGGTTCCACTACAGCTTTCAGCTCATCATTATCCATCTTGGTCTCGGATCCATGTGGTTCATTTTCAAGATTAAAATTGTCAGAACGAAACTTCTTAAACCATCGACACACTGTGCGTTTATTAGCCACATCTTCACCAAACACTTCATTAATATTTCGAGTTGTTTTCCACGACGGAACTCATATTCGAAAATAATCAAACTTTTGACTTATCCATGGTTAACCCTTTGACTACAAAAGGTGTATATATACGCTCTCACAAGTCTTTCAATATATATAAAAGGCGTATATGTACGCCCTCACAAGTCCATCAATACATACGAAAGGTGTAAATATATGCCTTCTGCAAAACAAATATTTCAAAAATATCTACGAACTTCATTGTACATACCAAGGCAAAAGAAATACTAACGGTCCATTACGTCTCATTGAAAGGCATTTTTCAAGCACATATTTTAATCCGTCTTCGAAAAAAAAAAATCAAACGCGAAAATGTGCAGTATGTAGTAAACATAAAATTCGTCGAGAAAATAGATACGAATGCAAAGAATGTGATGTAGGTTTATGCGTTGATCCATGCTTTAGGATATATCACACGGAAATTGATTATTAAATTGTTTCTATTATCTTTTTATTACCTTTATTCGTTCATTATCTTAAAATTGTTTGTCGTTGTTATGTTAAAATGAATTTGTTTCTCATTATCAATTTCGGATTTTTTCCTTTATATTTAATTACTCATTATTATTGAAGAAATCTGCAAGTTAAGTAAATTAAAATAGCTTAAAAAGTTACTTAAAATAAATAAGAAATGGATATTTTTAATTTATTTGCAATTATTATTTTTTAAATCCTAAGAATAGTATCAAATCTCCGGATACTGTTTTGGTCACTAGTCACTGGTCTGCGCAGCGCAGCGACTGACGTGCGAATAACGCGCCGTCCCTATTGATGGATTACTCCGAGATCGCGCCGCAGTGAAAGGGTTAAACAAAAATTTCTGTCATAAAACTCGAAAGGTAATCACAAATCAAAACATGCATTTGAAAGAGTACCCTCACAACAACAAAAAATCAAAAATTATAAAAGTGAAATGTCAGAGATATCGACTGTCGAACTCAAGTACTTAAGGAAATCGGAAATTTCATATTTAATGACTTAATATAATTTAAGAAGCATAGAAATGTAAAATGCTGGTTCAATGATCTTGAATTATACAGGTATCGTATCTTCTAGAAGTGCCTTTTTAGTGTCAAATAGGTTGATAGGAAATAATGTCGAAATGTTTTTGATGATATAATACTAAAAAGCGTATAATTACCCTTACGGAAAAAACAATCAAATATTGAATATCAACACTCAATTGTTCGAATTTACTCTCAAATTTGAGTATATATACATACATTTGAAAGTAAATTCGAACAATTGAGTGTAAATACTCAATATTTGAGTATTTTTTCGTAAGAGTAGTAAAAATGAACGAAAAGAAATCGAGTACATAACGAAATATTTCTAAAATTTCTCAGAAATGAGGAAATTGATTTTAACGGACTTGATATTAAAATATAAAAATGTAATAGAGAATCAAAAGAATGAACTGTAGAATAAACTGTAAGGATAAAGAAAAGTATGGGAAAATGATAGGAAATATATATAATAGTAATATTTATAATAATAATATAATAATAATATTTATAGTACAATATATAGTGATATTTTTATAATAATAAATCTTTAACCGAATTTAAAATTTCTGAGAGAAAGACAGAGGGGGGAGGACAAAAATGAATTGGAATATTACTTAATATATCATAAAAATAATAAATTTTGAATTGATATTGAGTTGTTAGCGCAAATTTGCCTGATGCAAAAATTCCGCAGGTTGTATATGCTGAAAGTATATTTGTTCAATTCAGGAAAATTTTAAGGGACATTTCTATACCTTGATTAACTGAATTTAGAAGCTTAAAAATATGCAGAAAGTTTTCTATACGATATACTAGTGATATTTTCCGCTAAATATGATAAAACAATGCAATATATACATTTATATGAGATTTATAAGTATAAAAGAAATCTCAAAAGGGTCATGTGATTGTATTAATACTTATTTGAAATAACGTTTTGATGATCGCTTTTATGTTATCGACACTTTTGGGCTTTTTTTGGACATTTTCGTCTTTGGCGTCATTTTCCACTTTGGCATCTCCTTGACGCGAGAAAAGGAGGCGATGAGTTGAGGCTTTTAATTTCTCCTGGATACCCGATTAATACATACGAATCGGAAGACCACGGATGTTCTAAACAGTCTCCAGTGAAGAAGACTGAAAAAAGATGGTAGTCGGCAGAACTGCGAAACCACCGCGACGCGCGGGCACGAAAATCAAGGCCGTGTCTCACATTTTGTTTCTTTGTTTGATTCTGAAGATACATGGATGGCGCTTTTTGCAGCTGACGCCGGAGGATGAGGAACGGCGTCGTCGACGGCGCGAGCGCAATAAAATTGCAGCAACCAAGTGCCGGCTGAAGAAGCGTGAGAAGACAGTGATTCTCGTGCAGGAATCCGAGATCCTGGAGACGCAAAATCACGACCTCAAGTCACAGATTCAGGAGCTGGAGACGCAGAGGCGTAGGTTGGTTGACATGCTAAGTCTGCATACTCCGACGTGTCTGAAGCAGGGCGCCGACAGCGCGACTTCCTATCAGCAGTTCGCCGAGCCGATCCAGCTGCCGAGCTACCAGGACAATTTCGTTCAGCAGGCGGCACCGCCGCCGCCGCCGCCACCGCCTGCCCTCAACCAGCCGCAGAACTGCGTCACCGAATACCATCCGGTCAAAGTTGAAGAGTACGAGGCCGATTTCTATCGGCAGGGTAGTCCATATGTGCCGACGACGTCGGATGCCGGTTGCACGGTCTAGCATTGCCGTTGTCATTCCGCGTCGTCATTAAGGGAGAGAGAATCTAGTCGAGAAGCTCGGACTTGTGTGCACACGATGTCTCGTAACTCGCAAACATGATTTTTATTTTAATATTTGTATGTTTTTTTTAGCGATCCGGAGTCGCTTCACTCTTGACAAACGTTATCGTTCATCATCACTTCTTGATTTTCCGATTTTCATAATTGACGTTAACTTTAGAGTATTAACACTTAAACTGTTTGATGGAAGAGAGCAGATTTCCTACTTGGATGTAAATAACGTCCCGGATAATCAAACCTGTAGAAACTGATTTTGCGCAGTATTTATTTAAAATTTTCAGCAGCTTGTTACCAGAGTGTAATATGATTTATGATAGAGTACGATGGCGGAAACCGTACGGAATTTGTCAACCATTTGAACGCGTTAAAACGAAGCATACCGCAGATCTCGCTAAAGGATCCCGCACTCAATATATGGAGTTTGGTTCCCGGCCAATTTTTCTGGAACTGATATATGTTGTACTATATAACCGCCCGAGCAAAAGTCTTTATGGAACTTATGGAAGGTCTGAAAATTAATAATTATTGAGATACAGAGGTGGAAAGTTTCGTTTTAGCCCTCATCATTATCAAAAATCTGGCGGTAAATGGGATATGTTTATGTATGTGTGTGTGTGTGTATGCGCGCGTGCGTGTGTGCGTGCGTGCGTACGTGCGTGTGTGCATGTGTGCGTTTCTTGCAGCCATGTTTCAAGAAGTAGTGAAAAGTCGTGAAAACGACTCGTTTTGGAGAATATTCGACAACAATTCGTCACGAACAATAGTCGTGAAAAGCTGTTCGCTATGAAGTATCAATTGAGGAGTAGTCTTAAAAACGGTTTTTTTAAAAAACGCCGAATTAGTCGTAAAAACGATAGTTTCAAAAGATTACTCAGACAATATTATCGGCAAGCAGTAATATTATTAAAATGGGGAAAGGAAAATAAACAATAAATAATTAGAACACACACACGTACACACACACACACGCACACGCGCACACGCACACACACACACACACACACATAAACATATCCCATTTATCGCCAGATTTCTGACAATAATGAGGGCTAAAACAAAACTTTCTACCTTTGTATCTCGATAATTATTTTCGGACTTAGGTTCCATAGAGACTTTTGCTCGGGTGGTTATATAGTACAACATATATGAGTTTCAGAAAAATTGGCTGGAAACCAAAATCCATATGTTAGGTGCAAGGTCCTTTGTACTCTAAATTTGTTGTCAAATAATGTTAGCAGGATCTATCGGATACGAGCTTAATGCAGGTATAGATTAGATCTATGGATCTGCTGTGGCATTCTAATCGAATCTGCTGCCCATTTATTCGCATATTGCCAATATGCTGCTCATTGTCGTATTCAAGTTGAAAAGGATTGCAGGAAATAGGGGTGAAATTTCTTAGAAAAAGATTCTCATGTAATATTGCAATGTCAAATGGAAAAATAATAAATAGACGAGAAGACTAAATAAGAAAGAAATATATTTATATCTACATAAATGATAAAAAACGAAAGAAAGAGCAATAGAAGAGAAAGAGCAGATATCTGTGTATATATCTTGTTCCTTCTTGGATTCATTAAATTGATTACTTTTAAGTGCCATTAACGCAATTTTAAACCAACTCACCTTAGGTTAGATTTATTAATCGATACACATGCACATATACATGGATTTTGTTTTATTGTCTTTCTACCTCTGATTGACTTCTATTTTGTCTTATAATTTTTCGCTCAATTGTACTTCCCTCTTTTTTCAAGAGAAAGAAAGATTACATAATTACATGCCCATATAGTATAGAAGTTGCAACAATATTGCTGCAACGTTGCAGCAATGTTGTTGCAACTTTTATACTGTATTGTGTATGAGATGAGTATTCTATTTGAGTAACATACTCAATGCAGTACGATTAATGATAGCAAACATAAAATTATTACATACATTCCACGTACAAGATGATGAGAGAATTTAAGTTTGTCGAAACTCGCAACTATATTCAGCGGTTATGTTCTTCTTTTTGTTTTGTGTGTGTGTGTTCATCTGAGCTTCTCTTTAGTCTCTTCTTCCCCGTATAAGTCCGTAGTTTATGAGTAAGCTCGTAAATTGATACTACCGTATTGCATAAACGCGAATAATGACTTATATATTTTCTTTTATCTTCCTTCATCGATTTTCATGTCTCCTTTTCCTCCTTTTTCGTATTTTCTTTTTCTTTTCTTTTCTAACGAGCTAATTATATTCGAGATAAACGTTCGATGTAGGACGCTTTGAACACATTCCTTCGTAATAATCGTACTGTGACATTCTTAAGGCCTTATTAATGTAATCGAAGTAATGTAAGGATGAACCATTTCGACGATGCTCGCGCACGACTTCGAGAGAGAGAGAGAGAGAGAGAAAGAGAGAGAGAGATGTAACTTTTTCAAAAACTGTTTCTATATAGAAATTGAAGGCTTGATCGAACGAATTCTGCATTTTCTCTTGTCGAGAAAATGTTTTTATTATTGAAAATTATATCTTTATTTTTTTATCGATAGCGAAATGCGAACGAATTTATAAATCGTAGATCTACTTAGAGAAATATATATTTGAGTAATATTTGTTCTACTATTCGTAGTTATTCGTAGACACTGGTTGTTTCAGAAATACAACTTTAAGACAAGTCGAACTTGTTGCAGTGAAATAGCGAATAGCTTGTCAGGTCTGCTTGTATTCCCGTCGCGAGTCCTCGGATGCGCGTTCGTGTGAATATATTATCTTCTTTCTTCCATTATTTTTCTATGCACATCAACGCGCTTGATGTCAAACTGCACAAGAAAAGGAAAAAGAAGAGAACCAGCGAGGCGAGCGAGCGAGCGTCGAACATCGTCGAGCTTATCCCATCATTAACAAAGCGAGAATCGAAACACCGTCTCGCCGAGATTCGCGTGAGAGAGAAAGAAAGAGAGAGAGAGAGAGAGAGAGAGAGAAAGAGAGAAAGAGAGAAAGAGCGAGAGCGAGAACGAGAGCGAAAGAGAGAGCGAGAGCGAGAGAGAGCGAGAGAGAGAGAGAGAGAGAGAGAGAGAGCGAGAGAGAGAGAGAGAGAGAGAGAGAGAGAGAGAGAGAGAGAGAGAGAGAGAGAGAGAGAGAGAGAAAGAGAAAAGAAGAATACACGTGAGTAATTCTCCCAGTGTCGTATATAAATTCTATCGTTATTGATCGTGACTATACTATATCGTGTGTCGGAGTTGAGCGCGCGTTCAAGAGAGGATACTTATAATTATACGAAATAACGAATGATATTTAATATTACTATTGTACGTACGTATATATTTTATATACAAACGGATATATTATATAGAAGTATATATACAATTATATAGAAGTATATGTACATATATACACATATATGTGCGTGCGGGCGTGCGCGTGCACATATGATGTGTGTATATGTGTGTGTATTGAATGTAGATACACGTGTAGCATACAAAGTGTTCTGTAATGCGAAACTGGATGAATGCGATTCTATTTTTCAGTTGTATAATATTATAGATGAAGTATTTGTCAGTGAATTCTTCAGAAGAAACAAAAAGATACTTAAAATTTTGTTATGATACACGTGTTGCGAATCTTTAATTATATCGAAGATAACCATTTGTTCGATATAATATGGAAGGTGATTCTTCTTCCATAGACGAGAATAATACGATACGTCTTTAGCACTTTGTATATACATACGTATGCTATATATTTATTATATATATATTTTTTTTTCACGCGCAGAAAACGATCGCATATTAAGTTATAGGCCGTTAACAGTTAACGAACATTTAATCACATAACGATTAAACGTTAGAGATTCATTGGAGAGCCGATAATTACGTGCCTAACGATACATACCTCAATTTTTCGTGGTAGTTACCCTCCCACAGTGCGTTTGTACCGAGAGATATATAGAAAAGAGATATATAGAAAGTAATTATAATATTATATAATAATATAATATAGACGTTGCAATTTGTGAGATTTGTCGTCTCGATTCTGCTTCGAATATATTCACACGAAGAAAAGAAAGAAAAAATTACATACGGCAATGCCAAAGAATTGCGAACGAACATAGAGTGTAATGTTTGCATCTTGATTTTGTAATGATTGTTATATATCGTATCGATAATTGCAATTGCATGTACACTGCTTTTGCTGAGCAAAGTTGCGCGCGATAATACGCGTATACGTGAGAGAAATTAAGATATAAAGAGAGAGAAAGAGAAAGAGAGGGAAGAGTTAAACAGATTGAAATATAATTATTTTGTAATAAAATCAAGTTCATTTTTAATTATCTTCGATATTGCTGATATACAATATCAACTATTCTGTTAAAAAAAATATATATGTTTAAATATATTAAAAATATATTAAAAAAGTCGCGTATATATATGTAAAGGTTACCCATTAAAATTTTTAATAGAAAATTAATTTTTTATTGTAGATTCTAGTCAATGTTTCGAGCTTCTTTTATATCATTATAGTTATATAAGTTGAAGTTTAGAATTGAGTTATGAGTTTTTTTCTAAAACGCGATGTTTTTGATATATTTAAGCATATTTTTGTTAATGAAACACTCCGTACAATATACTGACGAAAAAAAATAAAAAGGAAGAGAGAGAGAGAGATGTTAATGATTTTATTATTATATTATATAGGATGGTTTAATCACAGAAGGAGTTTTAGAAGGATAAATTTAAAGAAATATGCAATGTTCACAAAAATAGACAAGAAATATCTAATAGTAAACATGCAGATTGTTGGTACCATCTTCGACATGTACAAATTGAAAATCTTTGACCCTCACTTATTATCAAGAACATGACTGAATAATTTCTAAAAGGTTTTAGTCGGTGCTTAAAAAGTTATTAACAAAAGAAATTTGTGGAATATACTAGATAAAATGATAAATAAATAATAAATGATACTACCACCTGAGGACATCAATCTCGACATACACAGTCTGTAAAGTAAGAGCGTGCACGGCATAAATGGCAGTTGGCTTCAAATATCGTCCTAGTTTTTTTGTGAACCGATAGATGAAATCTTTGTCGTGAATGCTTTGTCATAAAAGATTCAGTTGGCGTCGAACTCTAACCTGAGAAACACGTTAACCGCCATGAGTGCCGCATGCGCATCGCCCTACGAGGTTCCTTTGTTCCCGCCCCAAAGGACCAAAAATGTCATATGCAGTGGTTGCTAAATACATGGGAAAGTCAAAATCGTTCGTCGCTAAGTGGATTCAGCAATATAAGAAGATCAAAAATGTCGATGACTTGCCAGAACGTGGCTCGATAGGCAAAGTGACGTCGAATATGGAAAAAAAAATTGTGAATTTGTTTAAGCGGAACCCGACCTTAATGTTTAAAATTTATGAGAAGTGTTTGTTGCCGACTGCTGAACGATGCTTCATAAAAAAAAACGAGGACTGGATCTTACAGGAAGACAACGACCCAAAACACCGAAGCAGCTTTGCACCGAGTGGAAAGAGCAGTCTGGCATCGTCACACTTGATTGGCCATCGCAGTCGCCAGATGCAAATCCCATTGAAAATGTGTGGACATATCTCAAGCACAAGCTTCGAGGAAAAAGAGTATGCACTTTGAAACAGCTGACACGACAAATTCGTCTTATTTGGAGGTCTTTACCGAATGAATATGCAGTCAACTTAGTGGGAAGTATGCCAGTTGCCAATTATCAATGCCTGTGGTGACTGGACTCATTGTTAATGGTATAGCATTTTTCTTCTCATGGAGTACAACAAATCCATGTACTTAAAAATCATTAAAAATAAATTTTTCTACACATTAACCCGTACACGCTCTTACAGACTGTATTGTTGAGACCATGACTCTAAGGCTCCTGTGCACAAGTGTACTGTTCATTTACATATATTCTATCATTAATGCAGTTACACGTTTACCTCGAAATAGCGCTCCTGTTATTACAGCATACGTAAAGATTATGTGCATTATTTGGCTGAATTCATATTAAAAAAAAATTTATTTTTCAGGACAATACATTGGTGAGTTTTTCAATCACATGACTTACTTCTACTACATGGGCTGAAAAGTCTTTGGCCTGACATATAGATGGCGCCACAAACTAAAAATCCTTATATTTCCTATAGAGTACCAACCTTAACTTAGACGCTGTAAAAATTTCATGATATTTCGTTGACTCGTGTACAAGTTATAGCTTTCGAAGTGACATTACCTCTGAATTTATCTTTACTATGGGAAAAATTAATTTCGTGTTTTGATTAAACATTGCTTCCTGATGGGAAAAAACACAGTTGAAGCAAAGGCATGGCTTGATAAATGTTACGGCACATCTGTCCCACCGAATTCAACCATCAAATATTGGTTTGCTGAGTTTCGTCGTAACCGTACGAGCACAAATGATGCACCACGTTCAGGAAGGCCAAATGAGGCAGTTACTCCAGAAAACATCCAGAAAATCAGTGAAATCGTGTTGAATAACCGCAAAATGAAATTGAGTGAGCTAGCTAACATCATAGGCATCTCAAAGGAACGCGTTGGTCATATCATTCATGAATATTTACATATGAAAAAGCTTTGCGCGCGTTGGGTGCAGCGTTTTTTGACAATTGAGCAAAAAGCGGAACGTGTTCGACTTTCAAAGCAAAATCTGGCCCTGTTTAACCGCAATAAGAAAGAGTTTTTACGTCGATTTGTCACAATGGATGAAACATGGATCCATCACTACACACCGGAGTCCAATCGGCAGTCAGCGGAGTGGTTATTGCCTGGTGAAAGCCGTCCGAAGCGCCCGAAGACACAACAATCAGCCGGCAAGGTTTTGGCCAGTATTTTTTGGGATGCGCATAACATAATATTCATTGATTATCTTGAACATGGTAAAACTATCAATAAAGAATATTACTGTACATTACTGGATCGATTGGACGACGAGGTCAAGGTCAAACGGCCACATTTGGCAAAGAAAAAAATTTTGTTTCACCAAGACAATGCTTCAGCTTACTCGGCTCGCGATACGACCGATAAATTAAAGAAATTGCGCTATGAATGAATTGGTCCCGCATCCCCCGTATTCTCCAGACCTGGCCCCCAGCGACTATTTCCTTTTTCCCCGACTGAAGCAGTGGCTCGCTGGTAAAAGATTTTACTCGAATGAGGAGGTCAAGTTGGAAACAAATGCCTATTTTGAGGGACTTGATACCGAGCACTATAAGACCGGCATCGAAATGTTAGCGGACCGTTACACTAAGTGCATTACTCTAAATGGAGATTATGTCGAGGAATAAAACACTTTTTCATTAAAAAAATCGTTTTTTCATTGTTAAGCCAAAAACTTTTCAGCCCATGTAGTATAAATTGACACATATGAATATTTATAGTAAATATTTAATAAATTTAGTTGCTTTAAGTACCGTATATTTTGGAATATACGAAACTGTATTAATCATGAATAGAATAATGTGCAATATAATATGTGTCAGGGAGAAAGTGGTTTCACCTCTCTCGTGCACTTCACCCTCAAAGAATCTAAACCAAAAGTATTCTGTATTATTATAACATTTTGGTTTTGACACAAATAAAAAATTCTAATATAATACATTCATTCTTTTAAGTTTTGTTATATATATATATATACAGGGTGCACGATTTATCTGAAGACATTGAAATATCTCGAGAACTATGCATTGGATAAAAAAAAGTGGTTAATGAAAGTTGTTAGTCTCGAAGGGGGACATCCAATGATACCAAACTCGACCTCCCACCCCACCCCCTGGGGGTGGAGGTTGGGGACAACTTTGAAATCTTAAATGGGAACCCCCATTTTTTATTGCAGATACGGATTCTACGCCACAAAATACATAAATTTTGTCCGAAACTTTTTTTTTGATTCGTGATAGATAGCGCCGTAATCGCAAAAAATTATATTTTCTGCAATTCTCCAGAAATGATCATTGGATCGAGAAATAAAAAATACCTGCTCAATATTTTTAAAGTACATAATAAAAGTTATTCCCCCCTCCTCTCGGGGTAGGGTGGATGGTAACGTTCAAATCTCAAATGGGAACCCGAATCGAAGAGGGAACTGCTCGACGCGCCACTGTGGGTGTATGGCGAACTACGGCTTATTATAAAAAATTGTTTCAATGAAAAAAATTGTTTCAATAAAAATTTCACGTACAATCTAATTCTGCAATGAAAATTGTGGATCCCCATTTGAGATTTGAACGTTACCACCCACCCTACCCCAAGAGGATGGAGGGGGAATAACTTTTATTATGTTCTTTAAAAATATTGAACAGGTATTTTTTATTTCTCAATCCAATGATCATTTCTGGAGAATTGCGGAAAATATAATTTTTTGCGATTACAGCGCCATCTATCACGAATCAAAAAAAAAGTTTCGGACAAAATTTACGTATTTTGTGGCGTAGAATCTGTATCTGCAATAAAAAATGGGGGTTCCCATTTAAGATTTCAAAGTTGCCCCCAACCCCCACCCCCAGGGGGTGGGGTGGGAGGTCGAGTTTGGTATCATTGGATGTCCCCCTTCGAGACTAACAACTTTCATTAACCACTTTTTTTATCCAATGCATAGTTCTCGAGATATTTCAATGTCTTCAGATAAATCGTGCACCCTGTATATATATATATATATATATATATATATAATAATCTTTTATAGGCGATGACTGCCGCCTAAAAATTTTTAAATATCATTCAAACCGATGTCCTTAATAACATACATGAAGGTCATTGATATCAAGACACCAGTAATCTGCATATTTGAGAATTGAATTAACATGGTCGAAAAATCAAACTTTTTCTGGAGACTTTAGTGTACTTTATGCTGTTTTTATTTATTTACTGGGGAAGAAAGAGTTGTTTACTAAAACTTGTTTACTAAATAACGGAAATATCGCAATTGCAAACGCACGAAAAGAACAATGATAACATTCGTTTTCTAATTCTTACTACGCGAAAGTACTATATTTTTTACATTTCCAACTTTTTCTTCTTCCATTATTATCTATTTCATCTTCGATTTAGATTCAGATACAGATTCAAGTCTCCGACTTAGAAATGATTCAGTTAAGGGACTAAATTTCCCAAGTCTTTCTTCTCAAGACCATGCTGTATCGCAGAGTGATAATGAATTAATAACCAATGAGAGATCGGTAGATTTGTCGGCAAACGCACTTTGGGCTACGCTTAAGTTCTCGCGCATATCTATGAAAGTTAATTCGGTTGTTTCAGTGGAAAATGCCGTAATAATAATAAGTATGTTATCGAAGAAAAGTTTCCATACAAATCCGTGACTAAATACGTCTTTTTATAAGTTTTTCGAAGATTCATTTTTCAAGCGCTATGTAATACATAAAGAGCATTCGTCGTGCAAATTTATAGATGTATATGTACATACGATACACCTGTAAATGCGATTCGTATTCTTCGAGTGTATTTTCTCCACAAATAATCTCCGCCCGCCCGCTCTAATTATGTTGTGAATTGTATATCATCTCAAAGCGGACTTGAGATAATTTGCAACAACAAATATGTAGTTCGATGTATGTTGGCTTCGTAAAAGTATTACTAAGCAACCAACTTCCGCGATTCTAAATGCCCAAGATTTCGTTATTCAAAATAAACAACCTACTACTGCCAATGCTAAGATCCTGCATACCATAGCTTCTAGTATCTAAGAACTCGTCTCACACGTTCATTTTCTTACATTATTGAAATGCGAGCCACATATCGAGAGAAATGTCATTTCCTCTCTTGTAGAGAATAAGTCATGGCTTTCATCTTTTTTTGAGCAGAATATCGAATTGCGAAATCGTATAAAATTACATACGAACAGTGTGTTAGACCTACAAATTAACGCGACTCAGCGTTGTATCTTCTTTATATATCGTTACATAGTACCTGGCTATGGTTTCTGATGCGACCGTTTTTCCCGTGCGAATTTATCTCACTAACCATGCAACTGCGAGCGAAACAGAATGGAAAAATGGCTGGCGAAATTTTGTCTTGTATAATCTGAGAAAAATATTTTATTCTTTAAATAAGTGTCTTGAATACTAATAAACCACTATCCTTTCCATGCTTTAAGGGCCTTCATACATTACTACTTTGATTAAAAGGCAGTTTTGAAATAGGAATCACTCTTACATAGGGAAATTAATATAAAAGTGACTAAAAAGATACAATAATAGTTATTGTGATATTCAATTAATAATAATTATTACAATTTTTTTCTTTTAATGAAAATTATTGCTACTTCCTTTGCTACTTAATATTTTTTAGATTTTTTTGAAAGGAATATGCTTTGTATGAAAGAAAAGTGTTTTTTCAGATCGGTTTTATTATAAAATTCATTAATATTATACACACACATCTCTCTCACTCACAAAATCAATTCAGTACACGTTTTCATGTTATAAATAAAAATAGGACGCGGCATACAATAATAGAAGTATTTTTATGATAATAAAATAGCCTCAGGATATAATTCTTATGAACCTCTGAAAAAGACAAAAATACATATATTTAAAAGAAAATCAGAAAAGAAGGAAAAGTTGCTCAATGATAAAAAACCCCAGAAAGAATATCAAATATATACAAGGTGTCCAATTTTAATCTATCACCCCTCATAACTTTGCAGAAAGCAGTTACTGAGAAAAAGGTTTCAGACAAAAGTTGTATGATTTCATGGAGGACATAAAACAACTATATCATTTTGTTTATAGATAGTGCCACTTTCGAGATATTCACTTTTATCTTCACTTTAACTTACAATATCTTGCTATTTGTTGGAAGAAAAAATAGTATTAGACATTTTTACTCTATTTGGTTTCAAGAATATATTGTTACAATAGTACCTTGATTTTTTGTTAACTTATTGACTTTTGGAAAATTCAAAATCATCAAATTAACAAAAATCAGGGTACTATTATAATATACTCTTGAGACCAAATAGAGTAAAAAAATCTGGTACTACTTTTTTTTCCAACAAACAGTGAGATATCATAAGTTAAATATCGGAAAAGTTACCAAATTTTCTTTAAATATCTAAAAAAATATTAGGCAAATAAATGTTTCGGACAAAAGCTGTTCAAATTAATTGATAGAAAAAGATGATATAATACAAAATTGGGTTTTCATTTAAGAAAAGTAATGATCAGTGAATATCTCGAAAGTGGTACCATCTGTAAATTAAATAGTATAGTTTCTTTATGTTCCTCTTGAAACCATGCAACTTTTGTCTGAAACATTTTTCTCTACGACTGTTCTCTGCAAAGTTATAAGGGATGATAGATTAAAATTGGCCATTCTATGTAAATACAACAGATTTATCTTAATCTTACTGATACTTACACAATTATATTATTAATCGGAATATGGATTAGTTTGACGAAGAATCCTATAAAACCCATCACACAGAAACCAACCACTGTGGCAATAGCGATCTTTTGGAACTCTGAAACATAATAAAATACAAATTGGACATGTTGTTTCAATGTTATCTGTAGATTCCAGTCTCACATCTCTTATTTTTTATTAAAAGGAATGATCTTTTAATTAAAGTTTGATTAAAAATACTAAAGAGAAAATTGTTACCTTTGCGATCTGGTTTAGTACATCTCTTAATGAGTCTGATGCTGTCTTTAGCAAATTGGCGACTAGGCTCAGTCAGCTTCTTAACTTGATCCATGTTGCTTGAAAGTCTGCAAAGAGAACACAATCTTCTTAAAGACTTATGCAAGGTTCATTAAATGTAAAATTCTTTATATTTGAGGTATATGGTAAATATAATCTTAGCTAAGAATGAACTTAATAATTATATAAATATTATATTTATAATTATATAAGTATTGTATGTAATAGTTATTTTCGATGAAACACAAACATATGGACAAAATATGTTAACTAACATTCATTTCTGATAATTTTTGATAATTCATGAAATATAATCTGAGGGATTACATCTTTGAAACCATTGTAATATTGTATTTGATAAATGACATGAGAAGAGAGCAGATATGAGAGCAAGAAATTTCGGCAGATCATAGATAGTTTCGATGAATACATGATAGCACGGTCAATGCGACCGCTTGCGTTCTATTTTCAGACTACTCTACTATCTTCAGACTACAAGGGTTAAATCCATATTTTCTAGATGAAGAGATTATATGTTACAAAGTTATGAGAAATTAACGATGAGCTCGTGTATATATTGCCATGTGTCGTACGGAATGTATAGAATACAATTATGTACAAACACGAAAAGACGCTTCTTCGTACCTCGACGGAGTAAATAAGACCTGGATTTTATCACAGAGGTTTTTGAAATACAGCTCACTGAAATTGCGCAAGCACGAAATGTTCCGCGTAAAATCGATGTGATTTTTCTGTGGAGATCAAGCGGAAAACGTGATACTCACGTTAGGTAAACAGAACTCGTCCGATGTATACCGTTTAATAGCTTACTGCTGATGAGACTGAAGTAATGGAACCTCAGTAGCTACGTGGACGATGCGTTGTACGGACGTCACTTCCTCACGATTGACGTTTACTTACACACGACACGCATGCGCTCGCTCAGCAGTGCTGCTAGATGCAAAGATGCAATATATTGCGACGCTACAGTGCATGCGTGAGATGACGTAGAGCTTGCTGCTTGAGTAAAAGCATAGACATAAGCTTTGTTCGTTTTGTATGTTCTGGGTCTGTTTCAGAACAGACCCAAGCAGACCTGGGTATCTTTAGGTTAAGATAGAAGAACTCCGGAAGTGGATCGTAGAACAGGAATGAACTACTTTTGTGTTCTGAACAACTGAAGTGAACTCAGGCGCTGTAAACAGAACACGACATTTTATAACCTAATTTGGTCGAATATAATCTGTGTGTGCATATTATTTTTAAATGTGTTTTTGATTCCAGATTATTTTGTTTATCGAAATATGTTTTGTTTATAGGTTAATCATGAATTTTTCGTCCTCATCATCATCATCATCCGATTCAGAAATATCTATTGGCCGGAAAATGCTCTTTGATTCGTCTGAAGACGAAAGCAATAAAAATAGATATTGCATAAAGAATTATGAAGCAATTATTTCGGAATATAGCGAAAAGGAACTTTTACAACATTTCAGATTAAGAAGAAATGTTGTTAATCAACTTATTTTACGGTTTTCGCAATCAGTGCATTACACGTCTATTGTCAATAGTAAGTATAATTATGTCATTTTTATTCACAAATCATTTAGTACTTTTTTTTGCTTTATCGTTTTATGTTTTATACAACATATTTTTGCATTACCAATTGGTGCAATATTTTTATTTCATTATTTTTTTTTACAAGATAATATAAATTTCAATATAATAATATACATTCTATTTCTAAAAGATATAAATAGGTGAGAATGTACATATGTAACTCAAAAAGTCATATTTATATTTATATAATAAATTGTACACAATTTCTTTTTCTTAACTTTCAGCCTAGATGCTATATCTCCAGAGAAGTATATGTATACATTCTTGTGGTTGGTTGGCCATTAAGTGTCATCGTATAGAGACTGTGCGGACCGCTTTGATCTGTCATTAAGTGTTTTTTAAATCATTACGAGAGTGGCTGATTAGTTAGTCGATATTGCACCACAGTATACACTGGCCTAATGAAGAAGAAAGGGAAATAATTAAAACATATTTTCAACAAATAATGGGTTTTTCAAGTGTAATTGGGTGCATTAATGGAACCCACATCCGCATAGATAGGCCAAAAGAAAGTGCTGAAAGTTACTACAATAGAAAAGATTTCTTCTCAATATAAATGCAAATAGTTTATAATCATGAACGAAAAATTATAGACGTTTTTATCGGGTTCACAGGGTCTGTACACAATGCAAGAATTTTTAGAAACTCGCCACTGATTGAAAAATTACTTAATCCAGAATTACGTGAGTACTGCATAATATCAAATTATTATTTTTTCATGGCAGAATGAACTAAAACTTCAAGTAATTCTATTTTAAAAATGTTTAATATTATTTCAATGTATTCAATATTTTTATAATATTCATTTATGGATAAAATGTTACAGATGGATAGCTTCTAGGAGACAGTGCATACCCATGTCTTCCAATGTTAATGACTCCCTACAAAGACAATGACTGCTGCTTAAATTTTGTATAATGTCAAATTATCGTCATGTCGTGTGCGAGTTGAACATACTATCGGCATTTTGAAGCAACGGTAACAAATATTATGCTTACATAAAATAATGAATATATGACTTTACAGAAGATCAATTTAATGCATTCCAACTTTTTACTTAAGAGCCAAGAAATTTTCTATGCTGCAGCATGCGAAAAATTTTGACCACAGATAAAAAAATCGAAAAATTTGTAATTCATTAGTTTGGTCTATTGTACACTTCCCAAATGTATAATTATGTAAATAATCTAATTTCATGATATTATATAAATTTACAATAAAGGTTTCAGTTCCTCTATCACATTAAATTAAAAAAGATCGAAAGGAAGATAAAAGTTATATATGCATGTTGTGTATTGCACAACATGTGTAGTACAGATGACTTTGATTTATTCGATCCACTGCCTACTGATGAGACTCTCAGTAATATTGAAATGAATGCAAACAAAGAAGGTTACCAGAATAATAAATTACCTAGTGGATTGGTATTAAGAAATGAATTGCGTGCTAATTTATGGAAATATTAACTTTTACGAATAAATAATATATATTAATTTTATTGCACACGTCTTTTATTGCACACTTTATTGCAGGCTTTTTTATCATAGTATTGTACTATGTACTGCATTATATTTTTTATTATATAGAAATAAAAAATCTGATAATGGAAACACAACTCAGCGTAGTTCTTCTCAACTAGGAACAAGATTGAGACAAAATTATAAATAATTAAATTATAAATTGCACTGATTGCGCATTTTGCCCTTGACAATCTTAAAACAAAAAAATATTTATACTATCAATAAAAAGATACTATGCTAATAAAAGCGAAACGAAATGTAGGAACTTCATAAAATATTTTCAAACTATTATGTCACATCAATGTCATCATCGTCATTGTCGATGTCGATATTGTATTTGGCTTTATATTTTTTGGCTTTCAGTTTCAGTTCGATGCGTTTGAGTTTCAAATACTCATACTGTCGAGCAGCTTTCTCGTTTTCTTGTTTTTCGCGGATATTTTTAGCAGATTCCCTTTTTGGTATTTTTTTGTTTTTTATTTCGATCGGTGTCTGCTGTTTATCATTTTCACGAAATCTGAAATATGGTATTAAATCAGTTTACTTAATAGGTTATTTTACTAATAATAAAGTATTTATATTTTATATTTAATGATCGCATATTTACATATTTTCTTTGTTGATCATCTCTTGACATCCTTCTTCGCCAATATTATCTATTGCACAGGTATCTTGTAGCTGAAGTAGTAGAACATCTTCAGTTGGTGCAGCTTTATTGATGTTTTTCAAAGATGTGTCTTGATCTGTTGACAACAGATCTGTCACTTTTGAATTTGATGTAATTGCAATACTATTGTTTATAACGAGAAAATTCGTTCCCATTAGTACCGGAGGAATTATGGAATGATCTTTTCCAAAAATATCATGCAGTTCGCTGTAAAATAATTATTAGAAATAATACCTAATATTATATTCAGGATATCCCAGAATATTGGGAATAATTTTCGTGTGCAGGTAAAGCGGACTAAACTTGAGAAGAAAAGTCCTCTACCATTTTGCAATTTTTTCAATAATTGAGAAATTAATTAAAAAAGATCGACCAATTTGCGCGAGAATTAGCGCGTAGTGAAAAAAGATAGCCCATTGTTATGCGATCGCTAGGCATACAACGACATATTAGGAATAGCTTTAAAAAAACAAAAAAATAGCTATGTACGAGCAGTGCATAGGGCTGGATTAGTATCTTAGGGCATTAGTATCTTAACGTCATAGTGGATCTTTTCTAGCTGTATGTTAATACTTACGCAAATTGGTCGATTTTTTAAAATTAATTTTTCAGTAATTGCTGCGAAAATTGCAAAATTATAGAAGATTTTTCTACTGAGTTTAGTTCGCTTTACCTGCACAAGAAAATTATCCCTAATATTCTGGGACATTCTGTATATACCAGGTATATAAATATGAAACCGGAATTTTTGTATAGAAAATACACGTTTATTGTAAGAAAATGATAAAAAATATTTTATTCGAAGTATTGCCCATCGCTAGCTACACATTTTTCCCACCTGTCTGACAATTTGTGGATGCCACGCCAAAAAAACTGTTCTCTTTTGCTCTTTTGAGGCAAACCAGTCATCGAGCCATTTTCGTACATTTTCGTAAGAAGTGAAGCGCTGCTCAGCAAGTGCGTGTCCCATCGATGCAAATAAGTAGTAATCGGACGGAGCCAAGTCTGGTGAGTAAGCCGCATGCGAAAGTATTTCCCAACTAAATATCTCAATCGTTTCCTTGACCAGTTTTGCTGTGTGTGATGGTGCATTATCATGAAGCAATATCACTTTGTGTTGCTTTTTTTGATATTCTCGTCATTTTTCACGCAAAGCTTGATTCAAATCGATCATTTGTTGTCGATAGCGTTCAGTATGAACGGTTTCGCCAGGTTTTAGCAGCTCATAATAGATCACACCCTTCTGATCCCACCAAACACAGAGCATTGTCTTCCGTCCATAGCGATTTGGCCTTGCAGTCGATGTCGACGGTTCGCCTGGAGTTACCCATGATCTTTTACGCTTAGGATTCTCAAAATATATCCACTTTTCATCGTTAGTCACAATTCGATGGAGAAATGACTTTCTTTTGTACCTGGCGAGCAGCATTTCGCAAGTGGTTTTTCGGTTTTCCTGCTGTTTTTCATTCAGTTCATGTGAAATCCATTTTTCCATCTTCTGGATCTTTCCAAGGCTTTCAAACGTATGGAGACAGCTTCTCGTGTCACATTTAATTGATCCGCGAGTTGTTGTTGCGTTTGAGTGTCATCCTCATCCAACAATGCTTGCAATTCGCTGTCTTCAAACTTTTTCGGTGGTCTTCCACGTTCTTCGTTTCTCACGTAAAAATCGCCATGTTTGATTTTTTTAAAGCACTCAAAGCACTGTAATTTACCAAGAGCATGCTTACCGTAAGCTTCGACAAGCATTCGATGCGATTCTACAGCAGTTTTCTTCAAATGGTAACAGAAAATCAATGCTGATCGCAAATCGTAGCTTCCAGGCACAAAATTCGACATGTTCAACGCTATTACAAACTATGCTGTTGTATGAAACTTGTATTGTTGTGAGTTGAAAATCTTTGTCAGATGTCAACAAAAGGAAATGGCGCCAATGACGCGGTTTGACGGTAACTACATTGACAGCTAGGGCCATCTATGGGCCGCCCTGTACGGGGCGTCCATTTGGGCGCCACAGCTGGAGACCTGCCGCGGCGGAAAGCGCACGCTGCGGCGGGCCCTGAGGCCCGTACTAATCACGGCGATTCAGGGGTACCGAAACGTGTCGTATATGGCGGCGACCACCCTGGCCGGCGTCCCCCCCCACCCCGTGGAGCTCCTCGCCGAGGAGAGGCACACCCTCTACTAGAGGGTGAAGGAGCTCCGCGAGGAGGGGAACCTGTCGGTCAGGGGCCTGAGGGGTCTGAAGCTCTAGGTCGAGGCCCGGACCCAGGAGAAGTGGAAAGACTTGTTGTGCGATCTCCTGGGGCCCGGGCCAGCGACGGCCGAGGCTGTCCGCCCCTGCCTGTCCGAGCTGACAGGCAGGAGGGGACGTGGAATGTCCTTTCGTCTGGCGCAGATGCTGACCGGGCATGGGTGCTTCGGTCGGTACCTGCGCCGGATAAGAAAGGAGCCCACCACCCGGTGCCACCACTGCCCCGCACTGGAGGATACGGCGCATCATACCCTGGCTGCGTGCCCAGCATGGGCCGAGGAGCGCCGTGTCCTCGCCGGGACGGTGGGATGCCGAGAGGGGGAGCTCTCGCTCCTGCGCATGGTCATGTGCGGGAGCGAGGAGGCGTGGTCAGCGGCATTCTCCTTCTGCGAGGACGTAATGTCCCGGAAGAAGACCGCCGAGTGGGGGCACCGACCGGGAAGGCGCCGCGGAGCGCGGCGCCGGAACGGTCGGAGCCCCCCGGGGGAAGGGGGACACGACAGCGGGCCCGGGGCAGCGCTGGTCGAGGAGAGCTCACCGACTCGCGAGGGCCGGGAGCTCCCTCGGCCGCCCCGGGCCTGTCACCGGTTGCAAGAGGGGAGTAGAGGGGTGATACCCTACCTTCCCTGTTTTCCCCCCCGAGCGATCGGACAAGTAGGGACGGAGGGGAGTGGTGCCCCAGTTGGAGCTGGGCCCACTCCCCCAAAACCCTTCCCTCCCTGACTAGCAGGGAGGGGGGTAAGGAGGGAGGGTGGATGTCCCCTCTCTCCTGCAATGGAGACACCAGGAGGCCAACCGGCGGGGCAACCCGCCGAGGACCGCACCCTGGATTCCCTCCGTGGAACAGGGCGCGGTACATAGGTGGCGAGGGGCTCCCGAAAGGGAGTCCTGGGGCGGAGGGGTTGGGGAGGGAATGCGGGAGCAGTTCCCCTAACTCCCCTCCTTACGGTCCGACAGGTAGACATCCTGCAGGGGTTTTAGTCGGTAGGAGTCCGACATAACCCCCGCCCCCCTCCCAAAGGGGCGGAGGTATCCATGATGGATTTCCCCTGCGTGACCAAAAAAAAAAAGAAGGGCCATCTATGGGCAAATTCCGGTTTCATATTTACAGACCAGTAATGCGATTCTGAAACTCGTTAACTCCAATAATGAGTTATAGAATCGCACCACTGGGCCCATATTCAGAACACGCTTGTAACTATGTCAACGCGCTGTTAACCAATGAAAAGCCACGCAATATGCCTTCTGATTAGTTAACAGCGCACTAACATGTTCTGAATATGGGTCCTGGTATAGTAGCAAGCAAGAACATTTTTTTTTTTTTATAACTCCTAAGTCAAATTTTTAATCTATCTCAGTTGAGACATTTAGAAAATGATTTGTCATATAAAGACGTGCTCGAAATGAGTCCACTGACTCATTTCCAATAATGCTTAACATAATTTGTTAATTGTTAGCTAGTAAGTCTGTGGGAATTTTCTTTTTTAGTCTTCGCGCAGTTAGTTTCGCGGTCATTAATTGGTTAGCCAATTCGTTTGGGTGATTTGTTATTCTCTCATTATACAACTTAATTCTTGTTGAAATTTCCTCCTTAACTGTAGGCATTCTTAAATCATTGTGTATGATTTCATTTTTTATATACCACGGAGCATTAGTTAGTATTCGTAGCGTTTTAGATTGAAATCTCTGTATTATCTCTATGTTTGAGTGAGACGCAGTGCCCCATAATTGTATCCCGTAAGACCAAATGGGCTTCAGTATGACTTTATATAAAAGTAGTTTATTGTTAAAATTTAATTTAGACTTTGGGTCCAGCATCCAATACATTTTACGTAGCTGTAATCCTAGCTGCTTCCTCTTAGTGAAAATGTGTTTCTTCCATATTAGGCGTCTATCGAGGTAGATACCTAGGTATCTACCTCGATAGACCGGTATACCTAGGTATCTCACATATTCTGCTTGTGGTACCTCAACATTGTTAATTTTGACTGGCGGGCAAGTGTTTTGTCTGGTTGTAAATGTGATATGTATTAATTTTATTTAATTTGCTTTGATTCGCCAATTATCCATCCATGATGATATTTTGTTCAGTCCTATTTGAAGAGTATCAGTGGCAACAACTGAATCCGTGTGTGAAGCCAGAATCGCGGTATCATCAGCAAAAGTTCCCGTTATCACATTGTGGCTGGTAGCTAAATCCGATGTGAACAGTAAATAAAGTAACGGGCCTAAGACACTGCCCTGAGGTACTCCTGCTTGAATTGGGTAGAGTTTTGGCATGGCTTCATCATAGTTGACTAAATAGTGTTTATCGGTTAGATATGATTTAAGAATATGATAATAATTTGATAGGTTATTCTTTATTTTGTATAGCAGCCCAGCGTGCCAGACCTTGTCGAAGGCTTGGGCCACATCCAGGAAAACAGCAGAACAATATTCCTTTTTCTTCATTGATTGATGGATTTTATCTACAAGTCTATGGACTTGATCTATTGCCCCATGTTTATTTCTGAAACCGAATTGGTGATTTAGGATCAGCCCCTTTTCGTCAATATCAGGCATCAATCTACCAATCAGTAAGGATTCAAGCACCTTCGCGGCTATAGGCAACAAACTAATCGGTCTATAGGACCTGACTTCTTCAGGGGTTTTATCAGGTTTAAGTATCATCTTTATTTGGGTTACTTTCTATTGTATCGGGATAATATTGCTTCGCAAAACTACATTGTAGATCTGAGTGAGATAAATAAAGCCAACATCTGGCAATTCTTTTAATATTCTCCCAGTAATAAGGTCGTACCCGGGAGCCTTTTTGCTTTTGAGTTTTTTAATAGCTCTCACCACTTCTGATTTCGTGATTCCCTTTATGCGTCCTTCTACAGTGTTTTGAGTATTTATTGATTCCATAACCATACTTTCATGTCTTGCATCTCCCACGTAGGGATGGGGGGAGAATATTCTTTGCAAATAATCCGCGAAAACATTGGATTTTTCGATATTGCTACGAGCCCAGCTTCCATCGCCGCGTCTAAGTGGAGGAGATGACTTTTTAGGTTGTTTTAACTTTTTAGTAGCTTTCCATAGGGAATAATTGCTTACTGAGGTGACGTCAAGTTGCTGCAAATATTTCTGCACATTGAAATTCCGCTCTTCGTTTAATAATCTTTTAAGCTCTTTAATGGAGCGACTTAATCGAGTTTTAATAAAAGGGCAGCGGGTTTGTTGCCATTGTTTTCTAAAACTTCTTTTTTCCGTTACTTTGGTAAATATTGTCTTTGAGAAGGTCAATTTGCTGTCTCTAGTCTGATGCATTGGGGTGGAATCCCATGCAGCCTTTTGGATCGTGGAGTTAAATATTTCCACCGCGTATTCTACGTCTTCAGTCGTTTTTAACGGTACGAGGGTTGCCTTTTATATTTCGGGAATAGAGAACAAAAAAAGGAAATTAATCATCGTATGGGTTTATTGTTTTTCAAAATATTCTCCATGAAGATCAATACACTTTTGCATGCGCTTGAACCAATTTTCGAAGCACTTTTTCCACTCCGATTGAGGTACCTCCAAAACATGCATTTTGAACGCATCAACCGCTTCTTCAGGCGTCGAAAAACGTTGACCTCGTAATTTATTTTTGATTTGCGGGAATAGAAAGAAGTCATTGGGTGCCAAATCAGGGCTGTACGGCGGATGACCTATCAATTCGACTTTTTCAGTTCTCAAAAAGTCTCTTGTTTGAGCCGATATGTGAGAGCTCGCATTGTCCTGGTGGAGAATGATGCATCTTCGGCGGTTGGTTTCCCTTATTTTTCCGAAGACTTCTGACAAACAAATGGTTGTGTACCATTCAGAATTGGCCGTCTGACATTGCACTAATGGTACAGTTGCCACATGTCCGGCTTTTCCGAAAAAACAGGCGACCATTTGCTTCGAAGTGCTTCGTGCGCGAACAATTTTTGTTAGATTTGGCTCATCTTGAAAAACCCATACAGTCGACTGCTGTTTACTTTCGGGCTCATACGCATAGATCCATGATTCGTCACCTGTTACGATATCATAGACTCATAGAGTTTTTGAAGCACCGCAATCGTATTTCTTGAGCATTTCTTTCGACCAATCGACACGAGCCTTTTTTTGAACGATTGTTAAATTATGTGGGATCCAACGCGAACAACTTTTTTTGACAGCCAAATGTTCATGCAATATTGAATGTATGCTGGTCCCACTAATGCCCAAGGATGCCTCAATCTCACGATAAGTCACATGACGATCTTGCAATATCACTTCACGCACAGCATCAATGTTTTCTGGAACAACAACCGATTTTGGACGACCTTCACGAAATTCATCACTAAGCGAACTACGGCCACGATTGAATTCCGTATACCATCGATATATAGTGGTTTTTGATGGTGCTTCATCGCCAAAAGTCGAATTAAGTTCATCGATGCACTGTTGTTGAGATAATCCACGTCGAAAGTTGTAAAAAATAATCGCACGGAAATGTTCACGACTTAATTCCATTTCTTGGCCGACATCAATTTTTCATGTCACTATAAACAACACAAATGGCGCATGGACATCAAAACGTTCTGAGTAAGTATATTGACAAAAAGTCGAACTTTACGTTAAGGACGTCGGTTGTCAGATGGCAGCACCTGGATCGTCTATTCCCGAAATATAAAAGGCAACCCTCGTATCTTGATGTTAAGTGAAGTTTCTATCTTCTCACGGAAGAGGTGCCAGTCGGTCCTACTATTATGTAGCATGCACTTAGGTCTGGATAGTATTTCACTTTATAGAGTAACTAACATCGGAGAATGGTCAGAGGACAGCTCAAAACAAACCTTGCATTCAAAGTAATTTACCGAGATGCCCCTAGTTACGCAGAAATCTATTAGGTTAGGTATTTTAAGTTTATCCGTAGGCCAATATGTTGACTGACCAGGGGACGCTACATTCAATCCCATCGTTTCAATAGCCCTGAATAGTTCGCGCCCCCTGGGCAGCGTGATTTAAGAGCCCCAAAATACATGCTTGGTGTTGAAGTTACCTTCCGCAATAAAACGGTTTCCCAAGGACTTGAAAAAATCGCTGTAGTATTTCTCTTTAATCAAGTGTTTCAGCGGGCTGTACAAAGCCGTTGTAATGATGGGACCATTTTGATCACTTATTATAACGCTGGTGGCCTAAATCTGTTCTTCCCGATGTGAGGTAGTTTGATGGTGTTTTATTTTGTTATTTATGATTACTGCTGATCCCCCATGAGCTTTCCCGTCGGGGTGGTTTGTATTGTAGATACTGTAGTTGGGGGTTTTAATGTAGCTTTTGTCGGTGAAGTGAGTTTCAGACACCAATATGATGTCAATGTTATGAATATTGAGGAACACTTTAAGTTCCTCACCATGGTGTGGGAGCCCATTGGCATTCCAGATGGCCAATTTAAGGTACTTGAATTTCAGATAGTTTGGTCGTTAATTTAGCCAACAAATCATTGGTGGCCTTCATTTGACTTATTAATGTTTGAATTAATTCACCTATGTCTTTTAGATTGTTAACAGTTTGAGAATTCATTTCTCGTTCAGAGCGATGTACTTGTTTTAAATTTAGATTTTCCGGGTTACTCTTTACACCAGCTGCATCAGCGTAAGATTTTCTTGAATTAGTATTCGTTTGAGTAACCGGTATATTCCTTGTCCTAAGTGCTGGCTTTTTGTAATTCTTTGTATACAGAGCATCCTTTATAATTGGCCGGATGATTTCCATTACATAGTACATCGTCCCTTTCACGGACAGTGGACCGTGGTATGATCCCCGGCGCATTTCACGCACCTTGGTTTACGGAAACAAAATCCTCTAGTATGGCTATATCTTTGGTACGTTGCACACTGAGGTATCAACCTCTTAGGTCTCGGCGCTTCGAAAGTTGTACTACAGTTTAGGAGATATTTCGTTTTATACATGTGTTTGTTTTCGAGACTTGGTTTTAGATCTATATAATACATGGGTAAAGGTTTTTTAGTTACTCTATTTTTTATGTTCCACACATTCGTTACCTGGTGTCCCAGTTCTTCGATTGCTGTTTTAATATCATTAGCGTCTGTCGATGGATGTATATTTTTTAGCACCACTCGAAAGCTCCTTTTCTGTTTCAATTTATGTATGGAACTTCGTGCCTTTTTCTTGAAGATTTTTTATGATAATAGTATAGGCTTGCGAGGTTTTGGGTTGGATTTTAACCTCCTCGTTTCTTAGGACTTTGATCAAGTACTCATCCTTAGCTTATTTAGGAGATCCGTGAGAGGCTGGATGTTGCTCACACGATCAACATATATTGGCGGAGGCTTTGGTGATCCATCCAAAGGAACTGTATTCTTCGTCTGCTGCTCTTCGGTATCTAGGACACAAAATTTGTTGTATATATTTACTGGGGCTCCTAACCAATAACTATTTAGCTTGGTTTGCTTATATATTCTGGCCTGATCTTCTGGACTATTTTGCTGTCTTTTCTTATTTGTTACCTCTATCCACTTGTCCATTGTCTCAGCTGACATTGTTGTTGTTTTATCTCTTGTCATCTCCTTAAGAGTTGAGGGTAGAGCTTCAGTTGTGACGCTTTTACATGATGATATAAAATCGCTAATTGAAGAGGAACACTACCTGTTAAGACATGAGGCTAGCGCTTTTTGTCCACAGTTTGGAGATTTCGTTTCGGTTGCAATTGCGTGCGGAACAGAATCATCTTTTGCCTTCTTCTCTTTGCTCTTCACACAAAACAATGGTTGCCCCCCCCCTCCCCCCAGAACCTTTGGGGCCTGCCTCCATGGAGGGTAGATTTTCCAGGATGTCTCCTGGGCTGCCACCTGGGGTACTCGATTCTGTTATTGTTTTTTCCATTGTCCGTAATGAGAATGTTTGCCAGTTTTGGTCCACCCCAGATATTTTTAATTTCCCTGGTACCCTTCAACAAGTTGACGGACATTCCCCAATCCGCCACCTGGGGAAGCGCCCGATGGAGGACTAGAAACCCCACACGGGAAACAAGAACATAAATCATAAATTTTATGTATCTTAATCTGATTTTTGGAATTTGAAAATCTGGCTTTGGTAACGCATACATCATGGTTTTATGAATATTTCAGTTCTTCAATTTAAAAAATCTGAAAGGCTATGAAGGACTCCGCACCAACTCGGGAGACGATTATCTGATGCACTTTATCTAATGCGCACATCGTTAATTTTTTTATTGCCTGATCCAATTTCTGCAAAAATTGATAATCTTGATTGATCTAAGGTTTCTGAGATTATTGAATAAGAATTTGAGGTCAAAATATGGCAATTTAAAATGGCAGATTCAAAATGGTGCCAAAAAATAAAAATATTATAATAAAAAATAAAAAATAAAATAATAATAATAATAATAATAAATAATAATAATAAAAATAATAATAAAAATAATAAAAAATAAAAAATAAAAATAAAAATTTTCATATTTTCACCTCAAATTCGTACTCAGCCATCCGAAAAACATTTTAGTACTGACGTTTATAAATATCAAGCATGATTTATATGTTGCCATTTTGGGTTGATGCTATTTCTCAGTGCTAACATTGATTAATTAACCTATTCTATATATACACGAGGAATTTTCTATTTCCTTCTTCTCAAGTATTCGAAATATTCTATCGTCAGACATTATGTAACCATTTTTTCCCAGGCCGCCGGCATTAGCGTTACCCAAAATGTACCACGTGGAGGTTGCCTAGTCGGATTTACACTTCATGTGTATGTGTATGTGTGTGTGTGTGCGCGTGCGCGTAAATATATGTGTATGTGTAAATATAAAAATAAATAAATATATATATATTTATATAAGAAATAAATAAATAAATAATAAAACATAATTAAATAAACAATAATAATAATAATTTAATAAATAATAAATAATTAAATATTAATATATATCTCTTAGAGATATGATATAATGTATTTTGGAGAAAGATTTTATTCGACACACCTTCGACGTAAGTATGATGTCTCTTGAAGACAGATTTTATTATATTTATGGTTTCTGATTTCTCGACCTTTTTAATTTCTCGGGGCTCGAGAATTCTCGTGTGTCTGTTCCCGGAAATTCCCGGGAAATCGAGAATATAAAAAATCTGTCAAAAAACGATAAATTCAAAGAAAGTGATAAATTGAGATACATATTAATTGTTTAAATCAATTTTATTGTTGATAATTTGACATTATGCAATTATTTCGCCTATATTTTCACATAAATATAACATAAATCAGTCTCCTGTTGCATCAATCAGTCGGTATTTTATTGTCATCTTAACAAAAATAAAATTAATTTTAATTGCACATAGTAACATGTTATTTAATTAATGTTATATTAACCGATATAACTGATACAGTGTTATCAAACATCAACGACAATAAAATTAAAATAATCATAGCGTACAAGTCACAGGCAATATGAAAAAATAATATTAATTATTATTAAAGTAGGCATTTAGGAATACAAGCGCGTTAATGGTTTTATCAGACAATTTGTTTTTTATTTTAGTAACTATATTCCCTATTATCGAGAAAACCCTTTCATTTTCAGTCGAAGTGGGTTTTACGGTTAATAATCCATTATAAATAGCTTCTAAGTTAGGAGTACGTTTTCCTGTAAATTCATACAACTGAAACTCTTTCTTGATAACGTTTTTAGTTATATTTTTTTGCTGCGATTGTCTATAGTTATCATTCTCTCCTACTGCTTTAATGGCTTGTAACTGCAATTCAAATGAAATAGTTGCATCATCATCAGATTCGTTAATTTCAGTTTCATTTTGTACACTTTGGTCTCAAGATTCTGAAGTTAGGAATAATCTATGGTAAAGTTGTTCAGTATAATTAATTAGTATTGGTTTGCTGCAATTTGAAATAAAAAAATCACTTTTCTTTAGATAAAATGAATCAGCATTGTGTAAAAACTTTAGTAAAGATACGAGATGCAAATTTCTTCGTTCGTTTAACCTAATTTTAAGTGATTTTAAAAATGTTTTAGCCAAATCGAAGTTCATTGAGTTTAATTGTTTCAACAAAATATCTATTATTGCCTCTGATGTTCAAATAGTGGCATCTTTTCTGCTGAGCGCTTCAACAGATAATTTTATGAGCTCTAAGATTTTGAATAGTATTTCTAATATACTGACGTTATTTTCGTTCCATTTAGAAGACATATTGAGATCAATTAAAGCTTATTTAATGGCACTTTTTAGTTTTAGAAATCGTTCAATCATACATAACATGGAATTCCATCTTGTTTTAACGTCAAGTAACAAATTTAGTTCTTCTCCAAATTCAGCTTTTACATATTTTTGCAAAATAATATTTTTTAGTGAACTTTTCCTAAACAATTTTACCAACAAACGCGTTTCTTTAAGTACAATATTTATATTATCGTTAGTATACGAGGGCGGTCCGATAAGTACTTAGCCTCACCGCCCGATGGCGCCACTATCGCAAGAGAAATTTACTATCGTATAGTACATTCTCGTAGACGGCTACTGTCGAAATTTCAGCCGAATCGGACTCGTAGTTTTGTTTTGACCGCGTGTGGAAGCGGGCGTGTCCACGGATTTTAGAAAAATGGAAAAAGAGCAATATCGGTCGGTGATTCGATTCTTGTTTTTGGAAGGGAAATCGCGCAGCGAAATCAAAGAGCGCTTGGATGCTGTGTACGGTGACTCTTCTCCTTCGATGGTGACCGTCAAAAATTGGTTTAACGAGTTTCAACGTGGTCGCACGTCGGTTTTTGATAAGCCACGCCCAGGTGCCCCGAAAACGGCTACCACGGAGGATAACATGACAAAAATCCACGATCTCGTATTGGCAGACCGCCGATTGAAGGTGCGCGAGATAGCTGAGACAGTAGGCATCTCAAAAGACCGCGTGGGTCATATCCTGCATGAAATTTTGGGCATGAGAAAGCTGTCGACGCGATGGGTGCCGCGTTTGCTCACTCCGGACAACAAGCGCAACCGTGAGACCACTTCAGAGCAATGTTTGACGCTGTTTAAGCGCAATCCGAAGGAGTTTCTGCGTCGTTTCGTGACCGTCGACGAAACATGGATCCACTGGTACACACCAGAGACCAAGGAACAGTCGAAACAGTGGACTTCACCCGGTGAACGTACTCCGAAGAAGGAACTGTCCTATCGGCCGGAAAGGTGATGGCCACCGTTTTCTGGGATTCACAAGGTATGATCTACATCGACTACCTGGAGAAGGGCAAAACGGTCACAGGGCTGTACTATGCCGAATTATTGGGCCGATTCGACGCCGAATTGCAGAAAAAACGGCCCCATTTGGCGAAGAAAAAAGTGCTCTTCCACCATGACAACGCACCGGCTCACACCTCCGTCCTCGCCACGATCAAATTGGTCGAATGGAGCTACGAACTGCTGCCCCATCCACCGTATTCTCCAGATTTGGCCCCGTGCGACTTCTTTTTGTTTCCAAACTTGAAAAAGTCATTCGCCGGGCAGAAATTTGAGTCGAATGAGGAGGTCATCGCCGCCACGGAGGCCTACTTTGCAGACCTCGAGAAAACATATTTTTCAGACGGGTTAAAGAAGTTGGAGCATCGCTGGGTCAAGTGTATCGAGCTAAAAGGAGACTATGTTGAGAAATAAATCGCCACTTTTCCAAAATTTTCGTTTTTCTTTTGTAGGCTAAGTACTTATCGGACCACCCTCGTATTGTAAGGAGTACGGCGCCTCGATACTTCGTATGACGCCCGCGTTGTCATCATTATCGACGTTATCGCATTCGTTATCTTCACTAGAAGAACTAGTTTCTAATTTCGAATCTTCTGAACTACGCATGTTGTTGCTAGTCTTAGCCTTTTCAATTTTTTGCTAAAAGCATCTAAAACTGATAAATATATGGCGTGATTTAAGCAAAGTATCATTTCACACGGGCTTTCGCGACCAAATTTCTTCATAACGTTCGGTCCATCGCTAGTGATAGCAACAATATGATGTTCAAACTTTAATTCGAATTCTTGTAAACGAGTTTCAACAATTTCTCACGTTTCAGTTGCTCCACACTTGGCGGGGATGTACACTAGTCCCAAATTATAGAATCTATATAATGAACGCAAATATTAAAATATCTAGGGTTTCGGAGACTTGTCCATTCATCAATAGTTAAACTTAAACGTGCTCCGGATTCATATAAATTTTAAAAATGTGCAATCATTTCGTTTTTTTTTATTTCATAATAATCTAATATAATACTAACGACATCAGTTTCATTTTTAGGCAGCCTATATCCTTTTTGTATCAGAGACTCGCGTATGAATTCGCTTCTAGTTATTGCTGTTATAGATAGTCCATCCTTAGCTGCTAAGCGGGAAACAATTTCACCTAAAGACTTCTTTTGTGTTAACTGAAGGGTTTGTTGATTAACGGATAATTTCGTTTTTTTGAATTCCGGCTCAGAACTAGAAGCTTCAGATTCGTTGCATTTCAAGTTAATTTTATGAATATGTTCAAGGTGTCTAACTAGACCGCTCGTGTTCGAGCCTTTACACGATATTTGTTTTGGACACTTTAAACATTGTGCGTGCGACACATCTTTGTTTTTTTTAAAGTATTTCCAAACTTTCGAAGTGGATCTTTCCATAGTATAATTGTTCAACTGAAAAGAAAATTAGTAGTAAAGCTACTGCTCTTTAACACTAGATTTACGGACCGAGCCAATTTGACTCATTAAAAATTTGATCACTATATATATATAAAACTTTAATATTACTTTTTAAAAACATACGTTGGTTTTTAGTTAAGTAATGAAATATATGTAAACGTTCATTCCTCTTCCCCGCAGACCCCTTCATTTCGCATTATCGAATGTGGTATACCTATTTTCACGGTTGTGAGCCAATTTGACTCATAGAATGGTTTAACAGTTAATCGCATAACATGAAATTTATTGGTCCTATCAGGCCTGGGCAACAGTCAAGTCGCACGTGATTTGTTTCTCTTCTCATTTGGCATTCCTCACATACAATATTTGTGTGTATGTGGGAGCCATTGTCACTTGTTTTCGCTATTCCGCTACATTATTACCCACTTCTGTCATCATTTCGATTTATACATCGCGTGTGAGCAGTGCAGTGAAGTAATATATAATTTATAATTTTATAAAATTCATTTTTTGCCAGAAAAATTTAATCCACAAAGGTAATTTTGTAATTTATTTGTAAAAGGTATTACAATTGATATTTATTTTATCTGGTTATCTAGGGTTTCTATTATGGGAAAATATCAGAAAAATTGTCTTTTGTTGGAAAAACTAATCAAAATAAAGAAAGACCAATCAGATAATGAATCGGATGCAATTGATATAGACCAATGTGATAACGAAATTGAATTAGAGGAGGAAGTCAATAAAATTGAATCTTCAAGCAGTGAAGATGAAGATCTTTGTTATATAGCTCCTAACAAAAAAAGAGCCAGGGTTGTTTCTGATTCTGAAACCGAAAGCGAAGATGAAATTTTTCGTTACACAGCTCCTAGTAAAAAAAGAGCTAGAGTTATTTCTGATTCTGAAACTGAAAATGATTTAGACGCTATCGATACATCTTCTGATAAAGAAATTTCAGCCGAAAAAGCTGCTGATGGGACTTTATGGGAAACATTGAACGAAGGCAGAAACGTAGGTAGATCACCGATTTATACCATATTCAAAGACGTTTCTGGTCCAACTGCCTATGCTAAAAGGCATATTATGCTTGGTTCGGCAAGTAGCGCATTCAATTTGATAATTGACGAAGGTATGATGGCGTATATAAAATCATGTACCGAACTCGAAGCTCGTCAAGTTTTGAATAATAAGGAATGGACGGTTACAAAATCACAATTGTGGGCCTTTGTAGCAATTTTATTTGCTAGAGGAGCATATGAGGCAAAAAATTTGAAGTGTTCATATTTGTGGTCTGCGAAGTGGGGTCCGGCTTTTTTCGCCCAGACAATGTCTAGAGATAAATTTATAGACATACTTCGGTTCATACGTTTTGATAAAAAAAATGAACGCAGTGAAAGACTGAAGACAGACAAATTTGCCTTGATTTCAAAAATATGGGAAAAATTTATAGAGAATAGTCAGGCTTGTTACAAACCTGACGCAAACATAACGATCGATGAGCAATTATTCCCTATTAAAGCTAGATGCCGATTTACGCAGTACATGCCGAATAAGCCGGATAAATTCGGCATCAAATTTTGGCTGGCATCCGATGTTAGAAGCAAATATCTTGTAAACGGTTTTCCGTACTTGGGCAAGGATGAAACCCGAGGATCAAACATTCCCTTGAGCGAATTTGTAGTAACTAAGCTTGCAGAGCCATATTTAGGCTGTGGACGAAATATTACCACAGATAATTTTTTTACTAGCATTTCACTTGCAAAAAAGTTACTTGCAAAGAAAACTACTTTGGTTGGCACTATACGTGCAAACCGAAAAGAATTACCTAAAATTGCGAAAGCCAAGAAAGATAAAATGACACAGTTTTCTACAAAACTGTATAGATCTGAGAATTGTACCCTGACCATTTATAAAAGCAAGCCTAATAAAAAAGTTTTACTACTAAGTACAAAACATAAAAATATAACAATTGAAAAAAATAAAAAACTTGTTCCAGAAACAGTAACCTATTATAATAGCACCAAGTATGGCGTTGATGTACTTGACCAAATGGCCCGAAAATATAGCGTTAAAGCAAGTTCACGCAGATGGCCTCTACAAGTTTTCTACAACATTTTAGATTTAGCAGCTATCAATGCTTGGATTCTGTATAAAGAGACGACTCAAGTAAATATTTCACGAAAAGATTTTATTTTCCAATTGGCTGAAGAGCTAAGAAGTAAATATAGAGAAGAAGTCGAGAACACTTCCATTCCAATGACAGAAATTCATGCTACTGACGCACGGAAGAATTGTCAAGTTCAACAATCATGCAAAAGAAACAGATGTAGAAACCATTGTGCTAAATGTAATAGAAATGTTTGCGGAAAATGTGTTTCAAAAACAGAGTTTATATGTAAAAAATGTTTTCCATGAATTTTTTGATAATAAACATTTCATTTAAATTGATTTGGAACTATTTTCTTTGCAAAAAACTTCAATTTTCTTGTATGAGTCAAATTGGCTCACTTCAGTAAAAATAGGTATATAATCAACATCCGTAAATCTAGTGTTAAATCACAAAGACTTTATTGGAAAAAACTAATTATTAGTAATTAAATTCATAAAATAAAAATATCTTACCCTGAGTCACTAATGCACGAGACAATATCATATCAATACAGCCGCATTGTGCCTTCCCGCTACCTTCTACGAACAACAACGTAAGACTGAAGTATGTGTGAGCGTAGCGTCAGTAGCGTTTACAATCCAAGCGTTGCCGCGTTTGTGCGCGTCCGTGCACGTGAGCGCTCAAAACTGCGCTCGGACTGCCCGACGCGGCGCGTACAAACGCGAAATTGAGACCGATTGAAGGTATTACCGCGCGGCAGACGGAGAAAAGATGCGTAGACTGGACTAGACGAGCATCGACCAACATAAGCGTAAGCATCATTTCTTCTTATTTAATATTTGATAAACAATAAAAATGAAATGATGCTTAAAACACTGAGCGCCAAAGCAAATGTAGTCACCGTTTGCGCGTTAATTATCTATTTATTACGTTTTTCCAAAAATTTCTCGATTTCTCGACTGATTTTTTCCCGGGATTAAATTTGACGAATTTCTCGGGAAATCGACATCGAGAATTCCCGGGTCAGAAACCTTAGTTTCATTCGACACATCTTTGATATAGGCGTGATGTCTCTTGGAGACAGATTTTATTCGACACACCTTTGACGTAGGTGTGATGTCTCTTGGAGACAGATTTTATTCGACACACCTTTGATGTAGGCGTGATGTCTCTTGGAGACAGGTTTTATTCAACATATTTTTTATATACCAGGTGTTTCAGACCATCCGGGTCACCCAATCTTTTATTTTTTATTTTCTATTTTTCTCTAAAATGTCGCGTTAACGAAAAAATCGGGTGACCCGGGTGGTCTGAAACACTCGGTATATGATGCCTTTTTCAAATGAGTTTATTTTATATTCTTTACTCTTTCGCACATCTTTTATGAATATAAATTTTATTGTAAATATTTATTGTTTTAGAAATGGTATCAATTTATTATTTTCTAGAATTTTTACAAAATGTTCTCTCATACTTTCAACGTTATTAGTATATTTTTCATTACAGGGGTTTCCTTCTAAAGCTATAGTGGTAGCAAAAGCCGCTGCGTACATTCCACAACATGTATAATCAGGTTGTTCTTGTACTTTTTCAAAAATTGTCATTTTCACTTAGTTTAGGATAACGTAAGTGAATATATTGTTTTTCTTTACTTGCCAATTTCTATATGTACATCCGGGTAAACTATCGTATACGTGAAGTTTGTTACCATCGAAGAAAATACATCGCCAGTGATCAGTACAATTTCCTCCTATTATTTGTAAACTTTTATTGTTACAACTGGCTATAATACAGTGAGGGTATTGTAGATATAATACACTTTGCGTTTCAAAGCAAATAGTGTTTCTTATAATACGCAAAAATCGATCCAATGATCCATCATTTAATTTACTATTAAGGGGTAAGACATTTTCTTTCACCGTTGAAAAAGGAGCAATTATATCGTCTAGAATTTGTTTATGCCTTATCACATCTTCTTTAGTTATATCTTGTTTTTTGTAGTAACTAATAAAGATACAGTCGTCTTGTTCTGTATCTGAAATAGCATTTTCAATTGCTTTTGTTGAAAAAATGTCTAGCCTTTTCTTTTTTCTTTTACTTTTTTGGATAACTCCTTCGTCTTTCATTATATTATTTTCTATATTATGTTCTATATTATGTTTCTATATATGTTTTTTTATATTGTCAAATTGACTAATTTTTTGACTATTTTTTTTTAGATGCCTCTTTTTTAGCTTCTATGATATATTTTGGATTTCTGATGGGCATATGTCTATTGTAGCGGCTATCTAATATTTCAGGAAGCATACATTCATAATAGAATTTTGTTAGATAAGGTAACATCCGATCTTTCCAGAAAGTTTTATCGCAAATAACACGCACTATTTTCATACTTTTCGGTGTCCATAAAACAAACATGCAATATTCTCGTTGCGTTATATTTAGTTAATCTTGTATTTGATAAAAAATTGGTGATTTATATTCATTTTATTATTATCCTTTTTATCGTAAATACTTTTCAATTGAAGCAATGTTTGTGTAGTCTCTTCCACAGTTAAATGTTCAGCCGACAGAGGACATTTAATTTCTATTACACCATCTTCATCAATGAGCCCATCACGAGAAGCGCCCAAAAATGGATTTTCATAATCAATAAATAATCCGCAAACTTTAATTTCTTTATTTAATTTCGTTGCCAATTCTTTTTTTGCTAACTCCTCCATATCGCGTCCATATTTCATAGCTTTGTTATCTGTGGATGGAGAAAATAAAATATTCTTTACAACTGTCTCACAAGACGTTGTTGGTCTCATATGACATACCGTTCCAAAATTTGACGCTGTCAACATTTCTTGTTGCAATATGTGCCATAAATCTGATTCTTTTTGAACTGTAGTTTCGCGCTCAATTTTTACAGTTATCTCGATTTGCAACCAATTTTTCAAATGATTTTGTCGAAGTTGTTCATATATCTCATATGGAAAATCAGGTCATTGTGATTGCGGACCATAATAGCAATCGGTTCCAACTTCTCATATAAATTTTCTTTTCCTTCCATTTATTTCTCTCGATTGTTTAGTTCCCGCAATTTTTTGTTGACGTTTTATTTCAAAATGTTTAATAATAGAAGGAATATTTTCACTTGTAGTTTGATGTACTTGTGTAAGAACTTGTTGTGTATTATATTGTACAACTAACCCAGCTATTCTAATATTATATGAGCCACGTGCACCATAATTAATCCGTTTTCTACCAATTTCCTTGCAGATGATAGAATTAAATGATTCTGCTGGGTTGTTTGTCAAATTTAGTAGTAAACTATCTGAGTATCCACTGATATATTTTATTGCACTTTCAACTCTTTGATATACGCTGTACATAATGAGAGACGGAACATAATTTTTGCTTTCTTTGCATCTACGGCCGCGTTCAGTGCATTTTTTATGTTCGCCAAATACGTGGTTAGGTATATTTAATATATCTTTTTGTAATTCTAAAGCTTTGAAATGATGAGGTTGTTTTTCGTTTCTCCTTACAGCAGCTACTTCTATCACTTCTTTTCGTATTCTTAAAATGTTATTTTTTAAGATATTGCATAACACAACAAAATCATGCTTTCTTTGCCATTTTGGTTGAGTTGTTTCTGCAGCGGCTTTTAACTTTCTGCATAAGTTTTTTCAGCAGATGATTAGTACATTCAATTTTCTTTATTCTTACCATTTGTTTTTTATATGGTCTGTTATCAATAATAGATTGATATACGTTGCGGTCACCATCAGCAACAACTGTTTTATAAATTAAACCATGCATTTCAATGTTTTTGCTGAAACCTTCTACAACAGCATTGCTCTCCATTTTTGTGGAGCTTACATTACGATAAAAATTTTTATAACATTTATTTACGCCCTCCTTCTTTCATGGTGGATTCCCCTTCGGCGCGTTGCAAAAACGTATCCAAGCGCCCGGGGGCAGCCAAAATATGGCGTCGACCCCGGGGCTTATTTCTATGATTTGCACCGGATAAGGAGGGGCAACGGTGGAGGCCGGCATACATGGACAGCAGGTCTTAAAAGGATAGCAACCTTTGACTTTGAGAGACTGTCAGCTTGTACCACCAGGTACAAGTAACAATGCCTCTCTCTGTAGTCGCCGTGCGCTCGGGATAGCACTAGAGATGTCGCTTCCGAACGACATCTCTCAATCTAGGGAGGGGAGAGTGTCGTGAACGTGGAGCGTCAGGTAACTCAATGGTTTAGAGCAGTCGCCCGGCAAACGAAAGACCCGGGCTCAATTCCCGGTCTAGCGACTACCGCGCTCTCGATATTTTTCTCTCTTTGAAACGAAAATAAGATGCAGGTCCCGAACGCACGACGTCCCGTCGCCACCTAGTACGTCCTTCTTCTTTCATGGTAACATTTATGACTTTTAGGTGTCATATTTTTCAGTTTTGCCACGTTACACACCGTACAATATTTATTTTTAATTCCAATAAACAATACTTTCCCAGTGCGAAAACCAATAATGGCACCAACACTAGAAAGTGAATTATAAGCATTGCCATATGATCTTTTTATCCAACTACCATCAGCTACAATAGTTATATATGGAATTCCATTTATTGTTTCATTCTTTTCGAGAGCAAGTCGTTTTTCTTCTAACCCAGCCATTTTTATATTTTCCATTGCTGTTCTTTCGAAATCATCAGTTCTTCTCGATATTTGATATATGATTTTTCTGGCATACAGTCTGTAAAGTAAGAGCATGCATGGCATAAATGACAGTTGGCTTCAAATATCGTCCTAGTTTTTTTGTGAGCCGATAGATGAAATCTTTGTCGTGAATTCTTTGTCACAAAAGATTCAGTTGACGTCGAACTCTAACCTGAGAAACACGTTAACCGCCATGAGTGCCACATATGCATCGCGCTACGAGACTATGTTCCTTTGTTCCCGCCCCAAAGGACCAAAAATGTCATATGCAGTGGTTGCTAAATACATGGGAAAGTCAAAATCGTTCGTCGCTAAGTAGGTTCAGCAATATAAGAAGATCAAAAATGTCGATGACTTGCCAGAACGTGGCTCGATAGGCAAAGCGATGTCGAATATGGAAAAAAAAATTGTGAATTTGTTTAAGCGGAACCCGACCTTAATGCTTAAAATTTATGAGAAGTGTTTGTTGCCGACTGCTGAACGATGCTTCATAAAAAAAAACGAGGACTGGATCTTACAAGAAGACAACGACCCAAAACACCGGAGTAAGTTTTGCACCGAGTGGAAAGAGCAGTCTGGCATCGTCAGACTTGATTGGCCATCGCAGTCGCCAGATGCAAATCACATTGAAAATGTGTGAGCATATCTCAAGCACAAGCTTCGAGGAAAAAGAGTATGCACTTTGAAACAGCTAACACGATAAATTCGTTTCATTTGGAAGTCTTTACCGAACGAATACGCAGTCAACTTAATGGAAAGTATGTCTCGGAGATGCCAGGCAATTATCAATGCCGGTGGTGACTGAACTCATTATTAATGGTATAGCATTTTTCTTCGCATGGAGTACAACAAATCCATGTACTTAAAAATCATTAAAAATAAATTTTTCTACACATTAACTCGTGCATGCTCTTACTTTACAGACTGTACAATGAATATTCATAGCTGCGCACAGTTCTTGTAACTAGGCGTAACCAATTTCCATCGTTACAGTCCCAGCATCGTTACAGCTGCTTTATTTGTGTTAATTTTGATAATCATCGGTTCAGACCAGATATTGGCTTCATAATTGCACATCTGACATTTAAAAAATAACTGTGTCAATAATCTGTGGCTACGGTAATCAATGACTTTCCAATCTTTGAATTGGCATTCTATTCCTCGTGTATGATTGCCAAACGTTCTATGAATTCCGCTTAACATAAACGAAATATTGACAATGCTACAGCCTGTAAGCATATTTTCTTGAATACAATGTGCATCCAATACGCCCGTGTTATCGATTATGAGGCTTTCATTATCATCATCAATATTATCATCGATATCATTTTTATCATTTTTATTATTATTATTATCATTAGTATCTTCTTTATCATTATTGTCAATATCATTTGTATAATTATTATCTTTATTACCATAATTGATATTATTATCAAAATCTTTTTTATTATTATTATAATAAACATTTTTGACAGTATTGTCATTATTACTGTCATAATTTTCATCATTACTATCATTGTAATTATCATTATTTTTATCAATGCCATTATTATAATTATGATTATAATTTTCATTATCATTATTGCCATTGTAATTATCATTATTGCCATGATCATTATCATTATTATCATTATAATTTATAAAATTTTCTTTGTATATACCTCTATTAATTTTATTACTTGAAATTCTTTCTTCTACCACAGTATAGTTTAAGGATGTAGATGACTCCTTATAATTTATACAATTTAATAATGTAGTTTCCAATATTTTTTTACTTGCTATCTGCAATTAAACATTAATAAAAATTAGTAATAAAAATTTAAAATAATGTACTCTGTATTGCCCTAACTTAGGATATCGTGCAAATAACATGGAATCCACTAGTATGATTTTCGGGGAGAAGAAAAGTGTTCCGCGCAATAATTACTATTTTATATTTTACTATGTACTAGAGAATAAAAATATACTGTCATATTTCGGAACAAAACGCTCAGACTGTCGGCAACAATTACAATCTACCTGACAATGAATGTGATTATAAAAATATATCTTTTTCGCTAAGAACACTCCCACCTTTAATGTCGTCGCGAGAGCGTCATATAATATACGAGTAATATTAGTTTTACTTCTTTATCCATTTATGTTTTCGGGAATGTCGAGAACGAGAAAGAGATAATCTCCGGATCTTGGTCTCTTCTACCATTTTTCTAAAACTTTGACACAAGACGTACACCCAATAAATAAATATTTTTCAAAATACCAGTGTTAGTACTGTCACTACGGTTTTACTCAATATTGCTGTCATAATATGAGTGAATACAGCAGCAAATATGAGTCATATGTAGCAAACAAATGATAATAATTTTAGTATAATCTGGACAAATAGTTACTGAAACTGAGCAATAAAATCTTAGATTTTACCCCTACAGTAAAATATATACAGGATGTACCAAAAGTCTAGAAACGGCTGAATATTTCATAAACTATGCATTTTAGAAAGAAATGTTTCAGACAGTTATTTGATAAAAGTTATTTGATTCGAGGGGGGACATAAGATGGTGTCATTGGATTGACCTTTTTGTGAACGTCCCAAGGTCATACAGAGTTCAACTTTGTTTTTTTAAATGAAACCCCCTATTTTTCATTGCATATTGTTGCGCTCACTCTCGCACTCGCGCTTGCACTCAGGTAAATGAAAACACTCGCGTAAGAATAACAAGCTTTACTATTTACAGCGCAGCTCACTCAAGCTTTAAACAAGAATAATTCTCTGATCTACAATTCTCGCGTCTGTCTACGATAACAGCTTGCCAAAGACTCCGTCAGCTGTTGTTGTTTTCTTCTTATCGATTTTCCGTCGTCCAGACAATCTTCGTTCAGTTGTCAAAATCAGATGCCTAAAGTTTACGGACAACGAACGTCGCCACAAACCTTGTGGCTCGGGCACTGCTCCCCCTCTTCGAAAAATTGTCGTCCCGACAATTCTCTTAGGCAAGGTCATCTTCTTCCTCGACTCCAGAGATCTTCATGGCTCCTGTCCTACCCTGAGCTGCTGCTACAGGTTACCGGACTCCATGAATTCTTGATCTCAATCAAGAGTTCTGAAGATCTTGACTCTTCGCCTTCACTGTCTCTATTCCTGTCCTTTAGGAGGTGATCAGTCTCCAGGATCTTTTCAAAACAATCCGCTTGTTGTTCCGCTTCTTCGTCCGCTTCCACCTTGGCTCCTCTTCGGACAGGGGGTAGGGTCCAACTACCGTGGACCCAACGTTCTTTTGCAGAACACCCCAAGTCCCTGCCTCGGCAATTGCCCAATGCCCCACAGAAAAACCACGGTCAAAAACCGTGGGGAAGGCAGCCTTCTCCCATTTCTTTTCCTATATATGGTTCTCCGAAACCGCTCTCCAACATTAAACCTTGAAAATAAAAAAGATGAACGCAAGATTTGGTTTAAATAATTTTACCATTAAAAATTTACAGGTTTCTGATGTTTTCCCTATTCTTTCCTTTCACTAAAAGAAGCTAACCTATCTGCATGTACCACTTTATTCTTACTCTTACTTGATTTCCTAATACAATAAATTACCTCATTCAACCGTTTCACTATTTCATAAGGTCCTTCCCAATTACTTTGTAACTTTGGAGCTTTCCCTATTTTTCTTTGTGGATTGGAAAACCAAACTTTTTGTCCTTCTTTAAATAAACATTTCCTAGCTCCTTGATCATACCATCTTTTTACCTTTTCCGTATTTAAAGTCATTTTCTGCCTAACACTTTTATAAACTTCATATATCTTTTCTTTTAAGTCAGAAACATAATCTCTAAAATTTATAACACAATTCTTCGGAGGAGTTCCTCGAAGTAAATCTAAAGGTAACCTCAAATCTCTTCCGAAATCCAATTCTGCCGGAGTCATTCCTGTTGTCTCATGTTTTGCGGATTTAAATGCTAAAAGAAATAATGGAATCCATTTATCCCAATTTTTCTGATTTTCATTAACAAACTTGGGCAAATACTGAAGGATTGTTTGATGTTGACGTTCGACTTGCCCATCAGATTGAGGATGAAGAGCTGTAGTCCTTGTCTTTCTAATTCCTAACATTTCTGAAAGTTCCTTAAACAACTGTGATTCAAAATTCCTACCCTGATCAGTGTGAATTTCTAAAGGCACACCGTATCTCGAAATTTCCTGACTGACAAATACTTCAGCTACGGTGTTTGCCCTGATATTTTTCAAAGGAAAAGCTTCATTTTGCCCATTTTGTAAAACAATCAACTATAACTAGAAGATACTTATTTCCTGAAGAAGTTACTGGCAACGGACCAAGTATATCCATTTGAAGTCGTTCAAAAGGAATTCCAACATTGAAAATCTGAAGAGGAGATTTTCCTTTATCTGAAGGCCCCTTTTTGACTACACAAATCCTGCAAGTTCTACACCAATCTTCAACATCCTTTTTACAAGTTGTCCAATAAAAACGTTTTCGAATTTTCCCTAAAGTTTTATTAATATCAAAATGTCCTCCAGAAGGAGCGTCATGTGCTTCTTCCAAAATTTGTTTAACTTTCGAACGAGGAACAACAACTTGAAGAATACTTTTTTTAAGATTTGGTGCTTGCCATTTTCTATAAAGAATTCGATTTTCAACAACTAAAGTATCCCAGTAAGATAAATAAATTTTTGAAGAAATATCTCCAATCGTCATCTCCTCGCGAGTAGGACGTTTATCGGATTCTTTTGCCAGAAGAATTGCCTGAAATACTTGGATCATTAAGCTGTTCCTTCCGCCAATCCTGACTAAAATTTTCACTTAAATTTATTCGTGCAACTAATTCACATTCCTGATTTTTAACTTTCACTTCTATCCTAGAACAATATTTACAATTTTCTTCTAAACAAGGTCGTCTAGACAAACCATCTGCATTTTTATGTAGTTTCCCCTTTCGATGAAGAATTTCGAAATCATATTGTTGCAGTCTTTCCATCCAACATGCTAATTGACCTTATAATTTTTTGAATGACATCAACCATTTCAACGATGAATGATCTGTCCTTATTAAAAATTTCCGTCCGAACAAATAGTAATGAAAAGATTTGATTGAATCCACCACAGCTAACAATTCTCTTCGAGTTACACAATAATTTCTTTCCGTTTCACTCAAAACACGACTAAAATAAACGATCACCTTTTCTACTCCTTTTTGAACTTGAGAAAGTACTACACTAATACCGTGATTTGAAGCATCAGTGTCTAAAATGAAATTTCCTTCTTCTTTTGGAAAAGACAGAATTGGTGAAGATGTCAGAACACTCTTCAGAATATTAAAAGCTTCCTGACATTAGGAAGTCCAATGAAATTTTGTTCGTTCTTCTGTTAATCCGTATAGAGCTTTTGCAATTGAAGAAAATCCTTTGACGAACTTCCTGTAATAAGAACAAAATCCTAAAAAACTTCGCACTTGCTTTTTATTCTTAGGAATTGACCATTCTTTTACCGCAGCAATTTTCTCAGGATCTGTTGTGATTCTTTCTGAAGAAATTATATGACCTAAGTATCTAACTTGTCTCAAAAAAATTACATTTTGCCGGATTGACCTTTAAATTCGAAGCCTGAAATCTTCGAAAAATTTCCCTAAAATTTTTTAACATTTCATCAAATGTTTTTCCAAAAACAATAACATCATCCAAATAAACTAAACAAGTTTTTGATAATAATGATTTTAAAACTTTTTCCATAAATCGTTCAAATGTCGCAGGTGCATTACATAAACCGAAAGGCATGACCGTGAATTGCTATATGTTAGTATGGATATAGAGTCTTGTTGGTCTTTGCAAACATTGATGTACTATCACATTTATTGAACAACTCAAGTTACACTGCCGTTTAGGAAAGGCGTCTTCCTCGTGTGTGTCCTAGCAGGAAAACTCTCCGCACTTACGTTTTTCAAGCGACGACGACGACATCTAACGACTAGATTTGGTGACTCGAGACTGACTACAGCACCGAATACAACTTAAGCCTATACATTTCCGCCCACCAAATTAATATAAGTAATTTCTGAATCAGAATTAACAGGCAGTTTGCATAACTTATTAATCGCGCGCTTTACAATGCCGTTAGAAGCATGTATTGACACAACACGGACAAAGCTATCCTCTCCAGTATGCAATTTTATCACACGTCCAAGTTTCCATTTTAAGGGGGGAATGTTGTCCTCACGGATGACTACAAAGTCGTCGAGTTTGAAACTCTCTTGCGGTGTTTTCCATTTTCTTCGTTGCTGAAGATCGGAGAGATATTCTGCCGTCCACCGTTTCCAAAAGTCTTGTATAATTCTCTGAATCAACTGCCAACGAGTTAACCGATTCATTATGACGTCAGTTACGTCAACCTCGGGCAAGCTCGTCAAAGGTCCTCCTACGAGGAAATGCGCGGGAGTTAGTGGCTCTAAATCAGCTGGATCCGTAGATATAGGAGATAACGGTCTTGAATTGAGGCAAGCCTCAATTTGTGTGAGTACAGTTGCCAATTCTTCAAATGTAAACTTCACGTTCCCCATTATTCGTTTGAGATGATATTTACAAGACTTCATTCCAGCTTCCCAGAAGCCACCCATGTGAGGAGAATTTGGAGGAAAAAATCGCCAATTAAGTCCTTCATTGGTAAGTATATCACTGGCGATATCTACGACTTGAGACTCTACGAACCGTTGAATCTCTCCCAATTCCCGATTGGCGCCAACGAAATTCGTGCCGTTATCACTCCATATTGTATGCGGACATCCTCTTCGGCTTACGAATTGACGAAGAGTCGCCATGAAAGCAGCGGTTGACAGCTCGCTTACGGCTTCTAGGTGTATTGCCTTGATGGAGAAACAAACAAATAATGCGATGTATGATTTATTCGTTTTCCGTCCACGACCCTTGTTAATTAGCGTGATGAGTGATCCGGCAAAATCGACACCTGTGTTGTAAAAACAACGGCTCGGCTGTACACGATTCTCTGGTAAATTGCCCATTATTTGAGTTATTTCTCGGGGTTGAGTCTTGAAACAGCGTATGCAGTTACGGCATACTTGACGCGCTAATGCTCTTCCCTTAATTGTCCAGTATTGTCGTCGGATAGAATATAACAATAATAATTGATTAGCATGAAGAAGACGTTTATGTTCCTTCTCGAATAATAATTTCGTGAAACGAGCTTCCGATGGCAGTAAAATTGGATGTTTGCGTTCAAACTTCCAATTGCTTTGCTGTAGGCGGCCGCCTACTCTAATGATGTCCTGGTTGTCGATGAAGGGTAGTAGTGATGCGAGCTTACTGGAAGATTTAACGTTGCGTTTACTCTTCAAATCTGAAATCTCCATTCCAAAGTGGTTCGCTTGCACATGACGAATAAGAATTCGACGTGCCTCTTGTAATTCGTGCAATGATAAGCAATTCAAGATTCGATCCCCTTGTTTCTTTCTTGCATTTGACAAGAATCGTAGACAATACGCAAGTACTCGTTCGACCTTGGTTAGTAAAGAAAATGCATCAAGCATTGTTGGGATAATTTGACGCTCTCCAGAAACAACATGATTCGTTTGCCTTTCCTTGCGCTCCTCAATAGACATTAATTCGCGACAATTTTGTGAAAGATCGAACTCTTGAGGATTCTCAGCTAAATTCATTTTCTTGCTGAGCAACCATGGCGGCCCCGCCCACCATAGCTGTAGTTCCTCAAGTTGACGAGGACTGGAGCCACGAGAAAGTACGTCGGCTGGGTTTTCCTTGCCACTGACGTGGCCCCAAGCTGCCGCAAGTAAATGCTCATTGATTTCGGCCACCCTGTTTGCCACGAAAGGTTTCCAACGCGATACGTCGCTGCGTATCCAATATAATGTGACCATAGAGTCTGACCACACCTTTACGCTCTCAATCGGTATCTTGAGGGTTCGACGAACGATGGTTAATCGAGATAGCAGCACAGCACTACATAACTCTAATCGAGGCAACGTTATTGTCTTTATCGGAGCCACTCGCGACTTCGAACACAGTATTCGAGAACTGAATTTTCCCTGAACGTCTTCCATTTGTATATATACGCACGCACCATAAGCACGTTCGGATGCGTCACAAAATCCGTGAAGAAATAACTGATTCGCTTTATCGCAATGACGCGCCTTGGAATGCCTAATATTTCTAATGCGTCTAGCTCGCCTTTGAAATCTTCCCATGTAGTGAGAATCTCATTTAGGAGTCGTTCATCCCAATCGCGATCAATTCGCCAAGTTTCTTGCATTAATAATTTTGCCCGAGTTAGTACTGGCCCAATGAAGCCAAGCGGATCAAAGAACTTAATCACGGAAAGCAATTGCCTTTTCGTAGTAGCAGATTCTGATTTACGCACGGCGAATTTAAATTCATCTGCATCTGGATTCCACTCTAATCCAAGAGTTTTGATAGCTGTTTTATTATCAATACTAAGCGTTGAGGATATTGTTCCATTTTGAGAAATTAATGACATGACCTCTGAAGAGTTCGAACACCATTTGTGAGCTTCAAAACCTCCAGTATTCAACAATTCAGAAATCTGCGTGTGCAACTCGATGGCACCTTTAACATCCTCAGCACCTGTCATAATGTCATCTACATATATTTTGTCTCGCAATATGCGGGAAGCGTCTGGATAATCGCGCTCACCCAACTCTGCGAGTTTACATATGCACTTAATAGCTAAGTATGATGAACTAGCTTCGCCGTAAGTAACGGTGTTCAGACGATATTCGCGAATAGGTTCGTTTAATGAATATCGCCACAGAATTCGTTGATATTCGCGATCTTATGAATCTACCATTACCTACCGATACATTTTTTTTATATCGCCAGTCAACGCAACCTTATGCATGCGAAAACGGATCATTATTTCGATTAAACCATTTTGAAGCGTGGGACCAATCATCAGTATGTCGTTGAGAGATTGTCCAGAAACGGTTTTACTGGACGCGTCAAAAACTGCGCGATATTTAGTAGTGGCACTGGATTTCTTTATAACGCAATGGTGCGGCAAATATATTACTGATGAATTGGTCTTACTTTCATCGTTTCTGACTAGTGACATGTGACCTAACGTCTCATATTCACGCATGAATTTGACATATTCCTTATGTAATGATTGATTACTCTTGAAACGACGCTCCAACTGTTTCAATCGTCGCTCCGCGATTTCGCGAGATTCACCTAAAGGTTTCGCGTTCTCACGGATTGGCAAATGCATGATAAATCGACCAGTGTCATCACGCGTGGTGGTTAGCTCGAACAGTTCTTCACATTGTCGCTCTGGTTCGGACATACACGGTTTTACGTTGGAATTGCAATTTTCGATTTCCCAAAATCGATCGAGATTTCGGTTGAGAGACTCACATCGCTGTACAGAGCAATGAAGAGACGTTACTATCTGAAGAACATCAACGGTTTTAGAGTCAGTCAGTAACGCGACCGGTCCGGCAATTACCCAGCCGAATTTCGTGTTCTGCAGAATCGGGCGATTTCTGCCAAGTTCTATTTTTCCGGTTTTTAGTATATCGTAGAAATATTCTGCCCCTATCAAAGTGTCTATGGGACTAGACTTATCGAAATTGTTATCCGCTAACCTTAGATTTGGCGGAAACTGAAGTACCTCGCGCGAAATCTCGATCGATGGTAGATGTTTGGTTATTTTCGGTACGATGAGACAGTGTACATTAAACTGGAAATTTGATTGACTCGACTGTAAGACAATATCGCAAACTTGGTGTATTTGATTTGTTAGTTCATTTATGCCTGTAATAATTTCCGACGCTCGATTTCGCTTAACGCCGATTTTATTACATGTTGAACTGGTGATAAGATGCGCTTCACTTCCACTGTCCAAAAGTATACGACAGGGTATACTAGACCCGTTTGATAGTATCGCATGAACCCTTGCGGTAGCCATTATCACATGACCTTTCACCGGCGCATTTGATGACAAATGTACTGCTACCTGGTCGCTATTTTCAGGTTTGGAGTTGGACGTCTCAACACTCTCCTCTTTCACGTTAGCTGGCATATGACATAAAGTGTTGTGTCTTCCCGCGCATTCTCGGCACGATCTCATTTTGCTTGACTTGACGTAGTGATCATTTCGCAAACAATTGAGACAGAGTTTCAGTCGGCGAACTTCCTTGATGCGTTTGTCCGTTGGCATTGCAATAAATTTCTCGCAGTAGTACAAGAAATGTTCCCCGTTGCACAAGAAACATTTACCGACATTTGTTGACAATGTGAGCGAAGCTGTTTTGTTGTCTCGATCTGATTTCTGGTTTCGACACCTTAAAGCCTGCTTGTCAGATTCGCCCTTCGAAGGCATAGAATTTCCTTGACTTACTCTAGCTTCCAGACGTTCCAAGGTTTGACATCGTTTTTGCAAGAAATTGGTTAGGTTGTCTAATATTACGTTATCAGTGTTACCTTCTTGTTCCCAGGTACGCAGGTCCAGGTGACACAAGATCCAATCTCATCTCAATCATATGGACAATGAGTTCATCCCATGAATCCGTTGGTAAATCCATTGCCTTCAGAATTCGCAAATGCTTCCTTGTATAATCAATCAACTCTCGAATTGCAGTTGATGACTCCCTTTTGACAACTGGCATTCTAAAGAGACATTCGATATGCTTCTTCTTTATGGCGCGTGGGTCGTCGTATCTCTTTTATAATAGCTCCCACGCGACGATGTAATTGTCAGCTGTTAACTCCATGGACTCGATTACCTTCGCTGCATTACCAATAAGTGATGTAACAAGATACTAGAATTTTTGCACTGGTTGCAAATCTCTCCTGTCGTGAATGAGAGACCGGAATATATCATTGAATCGCTTCCACTCTTCTATACGCCCGTCGAATGTAGGTAACCTTACAGGCGGTAGCTTGACTCCGGAGGTAAGGTTAGCAGCGCCGTCTGTGTTCGCAATCTGCGACAGCAGCTCGGTTTTACGCACGATCGCTCTAGCGATGGCGTCGTTATTGTCGACCGACAATGGCGACATACTTGACTGACGACTTACATGCTGAATTAACTCGGATTGTTGCTGCAGCACTCGTGTGATCATTTCGTCACTTGTTGACGATTGCACTTCACTTTGTGGCGCTGGCAATTTCCGCAATAGTTTATTTAGCAGTACCCTTAACTCAAAATGTCGTTCTTTAAAGTTTGCTTCCTCTGATGAATCCGCAACAGTGATCTCTCCCTCAGCTTTCTCAACGATTTCATCTTGTATTTTTTCGAAGATGGCTCGTATTCGCTCGAGACTTGCGACGTATTCTTCGATTTGCTCTCTACTCGCTTCGTCAGACATTCGGATGTGCTCGATTTTCGTGACCAATTTCGTCAGTTTCGCCTTGGTAGCTCCGCGGCGTCTTCGAAGCGTATTAAGATTTTCGGCCATCTTGTCTTCGTTTCTTGTGGACTGTATTTTCTTTTCGTTCGCGTTCACTTCGATACGCTTACTTGCTCTGATAATCCGGCTCGGAGGACCAATGTTAGTATGGATATAGAGTTGTTGGTCTGCAAACATTGATGTATTAGGAGCGCAAAAAAGTTCTGAGCCTTTTTTTGCAAAATTCAAAATTTATTTAAAAACAAACAAAACTATATTAATCAACGAAATATTCCCCGTTTGCATCGATGACCTTTTGCCATCTTTCGGGCAGCTTGCGAATTCCCTGATGGTAGAAGCTCACCGGCTTCGAGGCGATAAAGTCATCAATGCATTTTCGTATCTCTTCAAGTGTCACAAAATGTATATCAGCCAAGAAATGCTGCAGAGACCGGAATAGGTAGTAATCGGAAGGCGCCATGTCTGGGCTATACGCCGCGTGCGGGAGAAGTTCCCAGCCTAACGCAAAAATATGGTCCTGAGTCACTTTCGCAACATGTGGTCGGGCATTGTCATGAAGCAGTATCACTTTACGACGTCCTTTGCCAGTAAATGGCCTCTTTTCTTCAAACGCATCGTTCAAATTGCTCAATTGTTGCTGATAGCGATCTGCCGTTACTGTTTCACCCGGCTGTAACAACTCGTAATACAATACACCTTTCCAATCCCACCATATGCAAAGCAAAACCTTCTTGGCGTGGATATTGGTCTTTGGCGTCAATGTCGAAGGTTGACCAGGGTCAACCCATGATTTTTTACGCTTCGGATTATCATAAAGTATCCACTTTCCATCACCTGTAATGATTTGGTGCAGAAAATCCTTTTTCCGGAACCTTGAAAGCAAAGTGAGTGCCGTGTCACGCCGTCGATTTTTGTTATCTTCGGACAGTGCATGCGGAACCCATCTGCCTTCCTTTTGAACTTTTCCCATTGCATGTAAACGTGTGGAAATGGCTTGTCGCGTAACGCCAAGTTGTTCTGCAAGCTCCTTTTCAGTTTGTGCAGAGTTTATATCCAACAATGCTTGCAGTTCGTCCGTTTCAATCTTTTGAGGGCGTCCAGCACGCGGTTCATCTTCAAGACTGAAATCTCCTTGGCGAAATTTTTGATACCACCTTTTACACGTAGCATAACTTACAGCGTTCTCTCCATATGCAACACAGATCATTTCAGTGGCTTCAGCAGCATTTTTCTTCAGATGAAACGCGAAGTGGATGGAAAATCGAATATACTCTTTTGTTATTGCCATCGTGAACACTGCTGATTTTAAGGTTATGTGCATCAAACGCCAAATCGCACGATGTTTCGAAAGACCAAATGTCACTGCTTTAAAACCGCAAGAGGGCCGGAAATTAATGCAATTTAAATTGTTTCAGTAGTATGAAATCTAGGGCTCAGAACTTTTTTTGCGCTCCTAATACTATCACATTTATTGAACAACTCAAGTTACACTGCCGTTTAGGAAAGGCGTCTTCCTCGTGTGTGTCCTAGCAGGAAAACTCTCCGCACGTACGTTTTTCAAGCGACGACGACGACATCTAGCGACTAGATTTAGTGACTCGAGACTGACTACGGCACCGAATACAACTTAAGCCTATACACTATAAACCATTCCCCACAGAAAAAGCAGTTTTCTCCCTATCTTCTGGACGAATCTTAATTTGCCAATATCCGCTTTTCATATCTAAAGTAGAAAACCATTCATTCCCTGACAACCGATCTAAGAGATCATCTATTCTAGGCAATGGATATGAATCTTTCTTCGTAACAGAATTCGACCTCCTAAAGTCAACACAAAATCTAACTGTATCATCTTTTTTGGAACTACTACATGGGCTGAAAAGTCTTTGTCCTGACATATAGATGACGCCACAAACTAAAAATCCTTATATTTCCTACAGAGTACCAACCTTAACTTAGATGCTGTAAAAATTTCATGATATTTCGTTGACTCGTGTACAAGTTGTAGCTTTCGAAGTGACGTTACCTCTGAATTTATCTTTACTATGGAAAAAAGTGAATTTCGTGTTTTGATTAAACATTGCTTCATGATGGGAAAAAACACTGTTGAAGCAAAGGCATGGCTTGATAAATGTTACGGCACATCTGTCCCACCGAATTCAACCATCAAATATTGGTTTGCTGAGTTTCGTCGTAACCGTACGAGCACAAATGATGCACCACGTTCAGGAAGGCCAAATGAGGCAGTTACTCCAGAAAACATCCAGAAAATCAGTGAAATCGTGTTGAATGACCGCAAAATGAAATTGAGTGAGTTAGCTAACATCATAGGCATTTCAAAGGAACGCGTTGGTCATATCATTCATGAATATTTACACATGAAAAAGCTTTGCGCGCGTTGGGTGCCGCGTTTTTTGACAATTGAGCATAAAGCGGAACGTGTTCGACTTTCAAAGCAAAATCTGGCCCTGTTTAACCGCAATAAGAAAGAGTTTTTGCGTCGATTTGTCACAATGGATGAAACATGGATCCATCACTACACACCGGAGTCCAATCGGCAGTCAGCGGAGTGGTTATTGCCTGGTGAAAGCCGTCCGAAGTGCCCGAAGACACAACAATCAGCCGGCAAGGTTTTGGTCAGTACTTTTTGGGATGCGCATAACATAATATTCATTGATTATCTTGAACATGGTAAAACTATCAATAAAGAATATTACTGTACATTACTGTACGACGGATTGGACGACGAGGTCAAGGTCAAACGGCCACATTTGGCAAAGAAAAAAATTTTGTTTCACCAAGACAATGCTCCAGCTCACTCAGCTCGCGATACGACCGATAAATTAAAGAAATTGCGCTATGAATTGGTTCCACATCCCCCGTATTCTCCAGACCTGGCCCTCAACGACTATTTCCTTTTTCTCCGACTGAAGCAGTGGCTCGCTGGTAAAAGATTTTACTCGAATGAGGAGGTCAAGTTGGAAACAAATGCCTATTTTGAGAGACTTGACACCGAGCACTATAAGACCGGCATCGAAATGTTAGCGGACCGTTACACTAAATGCATTACTCTAAATGGAGATTATATCGAGGAATAAAACACTTTTTTCATTAAAAAAATCGTTTTTTCATTGTTAAGCCAAAAACTTTTCAGCCCATGTAGTATAACTACCGGCGAGGTCCACGGACTAAAAGATTCTTCAATTACTCCTTGCTTCTCCATTTCCTCCATAATTTTCTCTACTTTTTCGTGCATTTTGAAAGGAATTCTTCTTGGAGCTTGTTTAATCGGAGTAGGATCTAACAATTGAATTTCATGCTGAACTTCAACACAATTTCCTGCTACTATTTGTCCATCAAAAATATCCTTGAATTCTTCCAAGAATCTCACAAAATCCTTTTTTTGTGACATCTCTAATTCTTTTGAATTTTTCTCATAAAATTCTCCCAAACTTTCCGAAACATTCTCTTCTGTATTCAAAACTCGAGAACAAAAAGAATTTCCCTGTTTTGTCCTACAAGACGAATTTCCAAAGAGAGATTCAAAAATTCGTTCTGCTCCTATCGCCTCAAAGAAATCCGCTCCTAATAAACATTCACCTTCCATGTCGACCACCAATATTGACATTTTTACCTCAAAACTTCCTAATTGAACTTGACAATAAACTTTATTTCTAATAGGAACCTCTTCTCCTGTCGGATAAACTAACCTACATCTGTCAATTGATCCAGAGCGTTTTCTTTTTCCTAAAAATTCCCTATTCACTAAACAAACATCAGAGCCTGTGTTTAACTTAAATAAACATGTTCTTCCGTCTAGAGTTCCATAATAAGTGAAAAAATTCTTAATTTTACTTATTCTACTTATCCTACCACTCTTATTACTTATTCCCTTTTTTTTTATTATCCAATTCCTTAATCTTTCCCGGAGCATTTCTTTTAAAAGCCGAACTTGCTCCGAAGAGTTCTACCGACCAACCCTAGTTTCCCCGTTGTAATACGTTTTTTGGACATTCATTCCTAAAATGACCCTTTCCTCCACAACTCCAACATTCTCCCTCTTGCTTCTTTTTATTAACAAAATTCCGTTTCATTGTTCCTCTTTCAAAATTTGGAAAAGAAAATTTCCTCTGATTTTTGTTTTCAAAATTATCCCTTCTTCCAAAATTATTATTTCCCCGCAATTCTCTTTCTTCTCCAAAAAATTCTTTCCTTTCAACATTTCTTTTTTCAGAACCATTGTCATAAATAGTCTC